TGCATAGATGATGGACCGTGAAAAGGAAATTGTTGGAAACAGAAAGATGCATGGCCCAGTGGTCCAAGGGGCTCATTGCTTAAATGGTAATGGAGTTCGCAAGGGAAAGTTTATGCATCATTACTTTGGGGTTTGGCAACGAAAGCTAGTCCATATACAGTCGTCTAAACTATAATAGTACTATTAAATCAATCAGAAGATCGATAGGTTTTTTTTTAAATAAAAAAATATTTTTAGCTTGTAAAAGACAATGACCAGAACAAAAATAGTGATACCTCGATGAATATGAAAGCATTCTGACACTGTACTTTTACCAGTACAACACTAAAAGTGTTACAAATTCAGCTAAACTGTGGCAGAGAAACAGAGGGAAAATATGGCAACAAGGAGCAGAGAACTTATAGAGTGTGTGTGTGTGTAAACCTTGGCTTAATAGAACTTACCATGAGAAGAGGAATGACTGGAAGACATAAAGGCCGTCCTAGCAAGAAGGATCAAAGCCCAGAATCCAAACACAGCAGATATCGCCATGTCTTGCAAACGAACAAATTGAAATTCCCTAAATGCCAAGTACAAATTTAACAGCGGGTTTTCCTGTTCGATGACTCTAAATGTTGGGTTTTTTTTAAAACAAATTAGCATAATAAATAAAAAGATTCATTAAAATAATACTATTTAAAATAAATTAGTAAAATAATATATTTTATCTTATCGTGTATCAAAAACATGAAATTTAACAGCGGGTTTTCCTGTTCAATAACTCTAAATGTTAGGGTTTTTTTAAAACAAATTAGCATAATAAATTTAAAAATACTATTTAAAATAAATTAGTAAAATAATATATTTTTATCTTATCATGTTTCATAAACATGATTTTACTAAAAGTTTCTATTAAAAAGCACAACATTAATTAAAATATAAGCTTTCATTGTCTCGAAGAATACATAAAAAAGTGTCCTCTTTCTCTAAAAGCCAAACAACACCCTTATAATCTCCCTTAAAAACCCACCAAATATTTTTTTTTTGCCCTTAAAACAATAAAAAATCAAACATATCCTAATCTTCAAGTATCTCAGATGTGTTATGGGTTCAACATTGATTATTCCCCTTATTGTTGTCACTGTTACCATCTCTCCAACCCTTTTTCTAGTCTTACAAACAAGATAAATATATTATATTACTATGAATTTATGTTTAGTTTAGTTGAAATAAAATAATTATTTAGGTTAAATTTAAGATTAGTTGAATTAATATTAATATAGTTAACAATATCATCAATTAGGGTTGATTTGATATAGTTGAATATGAAAAAAAAAAAGTTAAATTAATTATGAATTAATTACTTCAATTAGTTATGTGTTGCGTTTAATTGATGTTAAGTTGTGGAATTTAAAATTTTGTGTGTATTTTTAGAATCAACTAATATTGTAATTAACTACATTTGATAATTTCATATAAAAAAGCACAAATACAGTAAAATTATGATGAATTACATGTTATATTAAATTGTTAATAAGTTCACGAATCTGATATTATCTTTGAATTATATTAACTTACTATGAGTTTGGGTTTAATTTAATGCAATTATATATAAAAATATCAATTAGATTTTGTATCATTAATTATGTTTATTTTTTAGTGAATTTTCTTTAACGTTATGTTTTGGGAATTTGAGTGAATTTGATATGGATTTTGCCAATTAGTGTTGGGGTAATGCAATTTAGTTAAAATTGCATCCAATTGACCAAAATCTGATTATTGTTTTTATGAAATATCTTATGATATATTTTTATTATATCATTATAGTGGCACTATTATTTATGATGTAAACAATGGTATCATATATAATGACAGTAGTAATTTGTTGTTAAATGGTAATTAAGGCATGTCATATACAGAAATGAAAAAAAAAAATTGTCATGAATTTGGGTAAAATTATAATAATATTGATGTTGAAATAACTTGGAGGTGTCAAATTAATTAACATCAATATTATTTTGTACCGATTATGTGTGATGAAAATTTCAAGATAATGATTGTTTCTTTCATAAAAAATGGTTTGAATATAATGGTATTATATACGAGTAATAGATCAAAATCTATATATCACTTAACTTTTGTTGGTCCTTCAAGTTCAATCAATAGAGGTAAAAATGGTTTATTGTCGAATGATTTGTTATAAAGGATAGATTATACTATGTTTGATAATTTATTTACTGATTAACATAGATTTGACTATTTTAAGCCTAATAATAATGAAGATGATGATATGTTAAACTCGAATGTGATGGTAAATGATGATGATCATGATGTTGATGATGAAATCATACCTTCTATTCCTAAACTTACAGATTTTTTTTGGTTTATTTTTTATGTTTTTAATGATTAGGCACTTAATCATAAACGTACACTAAAATGGTCTGATTTGGTTGACCAAGCATTCAGTTATAAAAATGAATTTGTTAATGTTATTAAACAATGATACATTACATATTACACATTATATTGAATGCCGACTCCAGCGGTCGAACTTTATATTTGTTCAATTACAATAAGTGCAAACACCTAGATGTAGGTTATATTTGCGTGGAGGTACCATGAAAGGTCAGATTCATTTGATATAGAAAAATTAAAAGAGCCATAAACATGTGTCTCGGCCTTTGTAAAAAAATATCATTATCAGCTTGATGCAAATTTTATTAATAATGTTATATCAACCCTTATAATGAATAAGCTTTCAATAATTGTTGCAAACATACAAGATGAAATAAAATTGTATTAAAAGTATAAAATTTCATATGACAAAGCATGAGTTTTAAAACAAAAGGTGATTAAGCATCTTTTTAGTTCATATGATGAGTTTTTGAAAAATTATATGGGTTGTTATTGGCAATAAAATAATCAAATCCTGAAACAATTGTTGATTAGACATACAAAGAAAATCTTAATAATATTATAATGGTTTCTGATAGAGATTTTTAGTAATTTGAACCTTATATTGAAGGTTTCAAGTATTATAGACCACTTATCAGTTTTGATGACACATATTTATATAAGTGATATGATGAAAAGTTTTTTTTTTATTGTAATTGCTTTTGATGCAAATAACATGTGTGTTGGTTCTTTATCATAACGAGCTGACAAGTAACATGTTATCCATGTATTTTTTAAACCATTTGTTTAATGAAAATCATTAAACTTCATCGAATTATTGTTTTTTAATATTTTAAAAAATTATATTAGATGCTTTATTCGAATGAAAAATTAGCAATTTCTTTAACGTTTCCATTTGCAGGAAGGACATTTGGACATATTAATAATCCCACTGATATTTTGTGAGACGATCAAGCTATATTATCTAAATCAAGTAATGTGATAGTTCAACTATAAAGTCTAGGAAACATATTTCAGTCAATATTGATATGATATGAATGATGCATTGCATAATATAACTCATCGGGTTAAAAAATAATAATTATAATTAGTTATGACTTCATCAAGTTTATATATTACAGTGAGATGTACAGATAAATGAGATATTTATATATACATCTTATAATTATAGATGGGTAATATTTGATTTAATATATGAGTATCACACGTTTGATCATAATTCTAAATTCTAAGCGTGTTCCTCCACCTATATACATGTAGTACGAGCAATATCCCCAACAGATTTAAAATCTTGTAAGTAATAAGATCTTTTAATAATTAATATATGTTCAATTTTAATTTTTATATATTAATTTTTTAATTTAACATTAATGTTTTATTAATATTAGATTGACTTCAAGCTACAAGAGAGTCAAGAGACCATATGTCTTTTCTTTGTGAAACCAATGAAGAAAGCAAATGTCACACAATTGCATCCCACTTAATACTATTAAAGAGAGATTAACTCTTAATGATATTGTGATAGAGAATAAAGCTACTCAAGCAGTTCAAGAGCTAGATCTTTTCTTTGTGAAACCAATGAAGAAAGCAAATGTCACACCATTGCATCCCACTTATACTATTAAAGAGATATTATATTGTGATAGAGAATAAAGCTACTCAAGCAAGTTCAAGAGCTGGATATAGTTGTACTATTGACGAGCCTAAATCATCAGATAAATAATGTAAATACAAAGAGATATATGACTTAAGTTTATATATTTTGAAATTTCAATTACTTACATATTTTGAAATTTCAATTACTTACATATTGTATTATTCAAGAATTTAAGATTTTTTTTTTTTTTGATGGGACAAAGTTTTAGATAATGTCCTTATACAATAGAACTCAGACTAAAATTTGTTAAAATTATAAAAATTTTAACAGTAAAATCATTAATTAAATTAAATATCAGGTTCACAAAATAAATAATAAATCTCATAAAAAAACATTTATTTTTTTGGTTATATTTAGATATTGAGGAAATTTGTTGTTGTGAGTGGCAGTGCAGTTCAGAACAATATTTAGATATTGCAATTTTGATTCACAAACTCCAAAGCTGGTTTAAGGAGCAATTAAAATATTACATTTCCTTTTCACGGTTATCATCGGCAAACGATCTTCCAGTAGCTGATCAGCAACCACATTGCCAGATACTATTATAAACAATATGGATGGAAAACAATCTCCCTCAAGAGCTTGTTTGTTCAGGACAAAGCCACAAATATTAATTACACTAGATATCTTGGATTCAAAAAAGAGCCTGATAAATCCTCTCCAGCATTACCATGGAGAATATTAAAGAAAAAATTGGAGGCCGTTAATATGTTCATCCACATTCACACTGCACTCTCTTTCTAGACAAACCATACGCTGGCATGCGAGGACCACTGGCGCTAACCATGATTGAAGTATTGGCATTTTGCAAAAATCTTCAGCTACCAATAGATATGGCAGCTGTCACCAGATCATTTAACAAGTAAATGATCTGAACAGGTGCATGACACAGTTGAAAAAGAGTAGTCGGTTTGGAATATGATGCAAGACAAGTTTTAAGAGAGACAAGTATAACCCAGAAGACAATTCCAAAATGTTATCAAGTAATTCGAAAACATTCCATTTGCAACATCAATCCAATTTCAGTAATACATCAACTAAGCAAAACATTGTCTTAAGAGTTCAATTCAAACATAAAAATTCTAACAAGATCATACTTGTTCCAGACCCATCTGCTTCTGTGGATGACACCATCTTCTTCAGCGGTACTGTAAAAGAACCAATGCATAGAATAAGAATGAATTACAGAAATTAAATGCTATTCAATTAATACATAATTGACTTTACCTTGATGAATCCAATTTCCTTGGCATTGCTACGGAAGCACTGTCTGCAGCACATAAGCCCGTACTTCCTGATAATACCGTGGGGATTTCCACACACACGGCTGCAAATCAACAATAAAACAAACATCAGAACACATAATTCAATATTTCTTGTTTCTATCCAAACCATTACAATCTAGTAACTCAAAATAAAAAGAGAATTCAATTGTAGCCTCATCTAACTGAATAATGGGAGAAGATAGTAGCGTGTAGAAAAGAAATGTTAGGCATCATTGGACTTCAAAATGAAGTCTAACCAACACATATTATCATCTTAAGCACTAGCTAATAGCTCTCATAAACAATAAATCATGTTATTTCCTGGGAATATCCAAACACAGCCATAAATCCGCATAGATCCCCAGTTACGCACATGAACTAGAAAAGCTCTTAGGATAACACTAACATGACAATAACAGAAAAGGTTCCTAGAAACCACACTCACAAGGAAAACTCTATCAGACCCAACGAGATATTAAAGAAGCATAACAAGAAAAACTGATAGAAACCTTTCTGCCGCAAAATAAGCAAGTAAATACATGGATTCAACATAAAGTTATACTTCCATTCAAGCAGAGAGAAGGAAAGTATAGGTTACCAAGTGCGAGAACCAGGGCCGTAGTTCTTGGGGTGAGAGTTCCAGACATTAGAGTGACCCATCCTTTCTACGACCGATCGTTATGGTGAACGAAATCTTGAAGCCGCTAGGGAGAGCTTGAAGCCTGGAGTTCGCAGAGGATATTTGTAATTGTGAAGGAAAGAGAACATTTATAGTGGTGGTACAAAACCCTAGTTTTCTGGTGAGTGTCATACGAGCCATGAGGTTGTCGCGTTTGGGCCTTTTTGGTATTTGACCCAGAATGACTACTAGTTTGGTCCTGTAGCTCAGAGGCTCGGAGGCCTCTGTAGCATAGGTTTTAGGCCCTTTCTGTATTGATCCGCTTCCAATTTTCTGATATCAATCTCTTTAAAAATAGATAATTAGCTACTCTCGTTATATTATTTTTTTCACTAGCAGGAATAAAAATGGGTCATATTATTAGTCGTCATTGTGAATTTAATGAAGTACTGCCTTAAAAATCTAATAATTTCTTTCTTATGTATGGGTAAAGGAGAGAACAAAAAAAAATTGCAGTTAGATATCCCTAATTTTAGATTACAGCAGTAATAGTGTTTTTCCCTTAAAAATATAATAAAATAATTTTTATTTTATTTTTTCAAAATTATCTTTTACATTAACATATTAAAAATAAAATTATAAAAAATATTATCAAAAATAATTTTTGAACTCGAAAACAAACAAGCTAATGGGTGGAATTTTTATTCTTTTCCACTTGATGCTAATGACTTGGTCCCTGAAAAGGCATCCTCTTCTTTTTCTACTCCAAACTCGATAACAGCCAGCGCAGGTCAGTAGTCATGCATGAGTGGGTTTGGCTTGCTAGGATCTATCCATCCCCACATTTGCCCAGTTACCGATGGCTTCATAATTTTTGCCTTCATAATAGTAAGGATATATTTGTCCCAAAAAGACGCATTTTTTACATAAATTTGACTGATGAGCGTTGATTGAGTAATTATTTGACAGATTCATGCAATTGAGAATTTTTATTTCAGTAGGGTAAATTATATTTTAGTTCGTGTAAATTCAACAATTTGGCTCATAGTCAAAGACATCTCGACACTAATTCCATGGTTTTTTTTAAGAGATTCCATTGCAACTCATATTAACTGTTAAATACCTAATAAAACTACCGATAAGCCTACTTTTTTAGTTATTATTATTTTAGTTAAAAGAAGTCTTTAGAGTATTATCGTATATAAGGGAGTTTGTAAGGAAAATATTAGAGGAAATCAAGAAAAAGGATGAAAGAAATAAGTTTAGGGCTGCCTTAGCTACTCGACAGCCAAAGACTAGATTGGAACTTACAGCTATAAGCACGCAACAACTTGTAGCAGTCACTGGGCGGTGTCGCTTCAGGCATCCCGAGCTCTTTCCTAAACCTTACCCATAAAATTCTTTGTATTTCTTCCTTCCCCTCTTGTCTATCAGGGCTGCGTAGTTGACAGGAATTCAACTAGGTTTGATGTTTCTGTTGAATCAAAATGGGAAAGAAGAAACCTTGTTTATATTTTCATGACAAGCATTTTGTGAACGAGGTTAAATTTCTCTCTTGCTATTGTTAAAGAATAATATAAATTATATCTTAAAATCTCACCTAACAGTTTAAATTTTTAGGTGAAATAGTTTTTTGACATGGTATCAGAACCTTGATGATCAAACGGTCTCGAGTTCGAATCTCACCATCTTTATTTATTTGATAAAAAAAATTAAACACAAGGTGATATAGATTTGTGTAAGTTTCAAGCCCAAAAAACTTTCACTTGAAGGGGTATGCTAGAGAATAATATAAATTCTATTTTAGAACCTCACCTAACAACTTATCTAACAGTTTAAACTTTTAGATAAGATGATTCTTTAATAACTACCATCCATTGAAAGCTATTTAATTTGATATATTCCATCTTACATCGACCAGTTTTCTTAGCTTTAAATAGTTATATGGTCAGCCTGCAATATTCTCAAGTGACCCAGTCCATTTCACAGGATTGAAAAATTGCAAGAAAGAGTTCAAGCAGTTTTCTTGCTGGTATGACAAACTGTCAAGCTTGAGAGCGTTGCAAGGTCAGCCTGAACAAGATCTCTCCAGTTGCACATCCCATCTTGCTAGATGGATTAATTGCAAAAAGTTCAATGGAATATGAAAAGAAACTGAGCAGGGTGGCCTGGAGAAGCCTACTGAGTTAAATTTTGTCTTGTATCTAAATGCTAACAACAGAGGCGATCAAAATGATCAATCATAAGTTGAACCAATACAATACAATCAAATGGATATTGCCTCAATAAACTGTCATTGACAAATAATGTGTATAACTCATAGCATGGTTTTTGAACTACAGTGCGGCGGTACAGAGGTACATAAATATTCGTCAAATTTTGTGGTACCTTGAAGATCACATGCTCGTCGCTCACATTCTAGCTTGCCCCACCTGGCATCAACTCGTTCGTAAGGGAGTACAGGTTTACCAGGGCAGTTCAAATTACATGTTATCAAGAATACATAGTCTTGCCAGGATTATTAAGCGGTTAGTCTACAAGTCCAGTGGTGAAATTGGCATCTTAACTCACCTTCTAATAACTACATTATGCAAACGGCACAGCCATTGTGAGAACTCAGTATGTGTCCAGCTTGTACAGGATTTACTCTGTCAAACACGTAAATGCAGACATAACTAACGATGTTTGAAGAGACTTAATAATCATAAGATTAGAAGTTACCCCTTTGTAGTTTATAGCATCATGGTGAAATCAAATATAATAAACTGTCCATGATAGCAGAGTATCAGATAGAAACTAGATGGAAAGGATAATCGGGCAATGTAAAAGAACCATTTCAGAAAGAGGGAGTATAGGGTGTAGAAAACACTTGTAGCCTAGAACACCATATCTGGAGAATGGTACAAGTTAAAAAAAAACAAGAACAAAAAACAGCATCAGCATACCTTAGAACTTCTTTAAAGTGATCTGCACATTCCTGGCAAGGGTACATCGGTGATAGAATTGCCATCTGAAAGCCAAAGCAATCCTGTTACTTGTTCTTAAAAATCTTACAAGCACACTGAATTGAATCTGATGTTCTATTTTAGACAGGATAAACAAGGATAGAGAGAGAAGTGAAAATTAACACATCTAGTTATATATTGATGAACCAAATGGCACAGCATCATGAACTTTACAAGCACACAATAATTTACCATTTGCGTATCAGCTTCCCCCAAAATGGCTGTTCATGTCCAGAAATGCAACTGAAGACAAAGGAGATTTTCCTCAAGATCATTGGCCAAGTCTAAATGCAGTGGGGTCACATCAATGGCAACTACTGTAAAAATAGAACAAGCTTCCCTCGCCACAGGTATACACTTTTAGTTATAGAAAGCTCCTGCTATTTGGTCAAGACAAATCATATGTACTCATAATCAAATTTAGTTTTTCTAATATTTTAAATGAGGTTATCTAAGTCTTTACTGTGGCAGGGATTGCAATGGGTTGATTTGCTGTTTCGACAAAATTATTTTTGAATTGAATTGATTTTTTAATATAATATTAGAGTTTTGATAATTAAATAATTATAAGTTAAAATCTTATTATTTTTATTTATTTAATAAAAATTAAGTATAAAATAATGTTGATCTATATAAATTTCAAGTTTAAAGAGTTTTTACTAAAAAATATATATTAAAAAATAATATAAAATTTATTTTAAAATTTTATTTAATAATTTAAAATTTAAAATTAAATTAGCTTTGATAGGGCTGAATTTAATAAATAATTGAGTGACAGATTTAACATGCATAGGCTCAAGAACGATAAATTCACCGGTTCAAACAAATTGAAATAGTTACTTTAACAAATAGTCTAGCAGAACCGCATGCAGCGAGGACAAAAGAACATCCTCCTTTTGCTGTCCCCGTTGGATGTTCAGGATACTGAAAACTGAAAAAAAAAAAAAAAAAGGTTTTAAAAACAACTCCTCGACACAGGGCATTTAGGGGGTGAAGCTACATTTTGAGTGTACCTGAGCAGCAAGCGGGTGCGGGAAAGCCCAGGTAGCTTTTCCAAGCTCTTCTTTGGTTACAGGAGCAGCAGACTTTCCCTAAATAAATCTATAACAGAAGTTTAATCAAACATGGTAGAATAAGTAAATTTATAGAGAAAAGTACATGATAAATAAGCTAAATATCATTAAATTCTTAGAACTGGATTATTCTTGTGTTAAGTTTATGTTTTTTGATGCAGAAAAGCTAGACTATTTTACATGATAGTTTAAGGGTTCAAGAAATATTTATAATTTTTTAATGTATAATTTTACAATGATAATGTTTATAAGAAATAAAAAAATTTTACACAAGCATTAATAAACATTAATAAAATAAAATATTTATTAAATAAGCATTAAAGAGCATTAATATGAGATAATATTTTTCACACAAATATTAACGAGCATTAATGAAAAAAAGAAAAAAAAAGCACATAGAATATGTTTTTGGACTTAAAGAGAATGTCAAGATTTAACAAGATACACCTCTAGAAATTAGACCCGGGTTAGCACCCGAACCCACCAGGGCAAATGCCTAGCATTTAGGCTTTGACGTCAATCGAAGCCAACCCATACCTGGGCTCAGGTATTCTACCCAAACCCATCGAAGATGCATGGAAATGGATCAAAATTTGGGACCATCACCGTTATGTATTTTGTGCTAAAAATGATATATGTATATATATCGATGTATCATTTTCAAAGGAAATTTAAATAAATAAAACTGGGTGGTTAGTGTTTTCTATCCAATTATATATAGTATTTTCAAATAGCCACCACCCCAAATGTGAATTATTCGTGCTCTATTCTTTCTAGTTTATTTTTTAAATTAAGATATGATGTGCATTTTCAATGCCTTAAATAAGCCTATGGGTTTTTGGCCTCGAGGATGCCATCAAGGTAGATAAATATCCTTGTTTATAGCTTAGGTTGAACTGATTTTTTTTATTAAATTTGATTTTTTTATATTAATTTTTTTTAGTTTTTCTAAATTTATTTTTACATATTAATATCAAAATAAATCTAAAAAGTAAAAAATATTATTTCATTTTCAAAAAGAAAACACTTTAAAAAGTAACTTAAATCAAATCCCAAATAGGCTCAAATTAACCCGTTACTTTATGTCACATCAAGTTAGAGCAAAATGTTTTTTTAAAATAAAAAAAATAATTATCTAAACATTGCTAACATGTATTTTTTTTTAAAAAAGTTTGAATCAGGAATTAAGATTAGCTACATATTAAAAGATATTTTTATTAAATATTAAAATAAAAACACATTAGATTTATCTAGATTAATATAAGTTGATATAGGAAACTCACGGAACAATATTAAAAAAAGATAAATTAAAAAGTTACTTTAACAAACTTATTGTTAAAAGAAGAAATTGATACAAAAAAAACAGCACTCGGTTAAAATAAATAATTCAATTGAACTTAAGTCAACAAACCAAATTCATAACGCAAATTATGTATATTATTGCATTAAAAAAATATCTCATAATCTATTTTTCATTTAATTATACAACAATAAAACATATGAAAAATTTTTTGTATGGAGTATTTAAAAAAAAAAATCATGACAAGCAGGTTGAGTTAAGATAGCAATAATAGATTATTGATAACAAAAAAATTAAATTATATTATTTTAGTTTTAAATTAAATAAAAAATAAATCATTGATAATAAATGGTGAAATTATATATATATATTAAGGAAACAAATATATATTAAATAAAAAAAAAAGAAAGAAAAATCTAGATTATAAAATCAACCAAGTTCAATAATTTTTATTGTAAATTTATATCCCATCTAAATATAATATAAAGAAAAGAGCCAGGTGTTTGGATGTTCAAGCTAAAGCCTACATACCGTTGTTTTTTTTTTTTTTAATATTTTAAAAAGGAGGATGACCACACTGAAATGTAACTACTATCATTCTTTCCTTAACAAGCTAGGGATTTAAAATGAAAGAAATGAAGTTTTGTTTCCAACAATTAAAATAATTGATTATCTATTAACTAAAAAAATGAATTTTTTAAATAAAATTAAAAGTTGCCATTTATATATATTTTTGTTTTTCACTTTGATTATCTGTGTTTTAATTCAACCCATTCTAAAAAAAAGAAGTAATTAGGTATTAAGTTAGGCTCAAAAGAGTTTTATTAAGCAAAAAAAAAAAATGATTATAAAATTAAAAAAATTAAAAATTAATCATTTCATTTTATAGTGATTTGTAAGAAAATACACAATAAAAAAAAACCTCATGATTTTTTTTTTGTGGTAATATATAGACTAAGTTTTGCATTTGAGACCAACCAAACTATCGACTTGATACGTTCTCAAGATTATATCAACTCGGTTCAATGTTTATTAACTGCAAGGGAAATTATTAGAGTATTTTTCTAACACACTTAAAAATAGAGTTCATGAATGATTATCATTTCTGGACCAATTTTCATGTGAGTAAAACGACATCACATCTAGAGTATTTAATGACTTCTACCTGTGGGGAATTGCAATGGAGCAAACCTTAGTTTTAGTGAACAAAAGAATCTAATTAAAATTTCAAATTTGTTTAAGAATTTTTTTAATTTGACAATAAGAGGCATTTTAAATAATTTTTTTACTGTAATTGAAATAACTATTTTTTCAAACGATTGAAATAATATACCTTATATATTTTATTAAAAATGATTTTAATGGATACCCATTCCAAAATTCAAACTAAAAAAAAGAAAGAAAATATTTTTGACTTGTGGTTACCGTTAATGGCAAGTAACAATGCATTTTGGACAGTGTTTCGGTTTATTGACATCTTTAGCCCTTATAACATGGGATACGGGGCCAATAAGCATACGTGAGATACAGGTAATTTAATTAAGCTCCCGCATGCCAAAAGTCTGTTGCGTGGTCAAATCTGGCACCCTTGGAAATTACCAGTTAAATTACTCCCTGCTCCCTTCAAGCAGGAGACGGGGGCACAACTTTCCTTGAGTTTCCAAGAGAGAGATAGACTGGTAGGAAGCCCAAAGCAAAGATTTGACCTCCTCATAACATGACAAGCTGACCAGGTCTGCCTTTTGTTCATTGTATCTAAAGATCTAATGGAGAAAGTACTACTACTTGGTTTCTCTTGAAATTCAGGCACAGGTACTTCCCTTGGACAAATTCTTTTTACTTTCATTGATTGGTGTGAAGAAACTAAACTAGCTTCATGGATCCATAAATATCTGATTTCAGGCTAAACCCTGTTCAACTAAGTCCAGGGTCAAAGTTTTAACCTCCTCTAAATCCTGTCTGTGTGGATGGGTGAAGAGGGAATGGCGATTGATGCAGAGAACAAAGCTAAAACAAGTCCAAAACTAACTCTATTGCCTCTTATTGCTTTGATATTCTATGATGTATCTGGGGGTCCATTTGGTGTAGAGGATTCAGTGAGGGCTGGAGGTGGCCCTTTATTGTCTTTGCTTGGTTTCTTGATATTCCCTTTAATTTGGAGCATACCAGAAGCTCTAATCACCGCAGAGCTGGCCACGAGTTTCCCTGAGAATGGTGGATATGTTATTTGGATATCTTCAGCTTTTGGTCCCTTCTGGGGTTTCCAAGAAGGATTTTGGAAATGGTTTAGTGGGGTTGTGGACAATGCCCTTTACCCTGTATTGTTTCTTGATTACTTGAAGCGTTCGTTTCCTATTTTTAACCAATTAATAGCTCGAATTCCAGCTCTTTTAGGCATTACAGTTTCTTTGACATATTTGAATTATAGAGGTCTGCATATTGTTGGATTTTCGGCAGTTTCCCTTGCTGTTTTTTCACTTTGTCCATTTGTTGTAATGAGTTTTCTTTCAATCCCTCGAATCAGTCCTAAGCAATGGCTAGCTGTAGATTTTAAGAAAGTGGAATGGAGAGGATACTTCAATTGCATGTTCTGGAACCTGAATTATTGGGATAAGGCTAGTACTCTAGCAGGTGAGGTTGAAAACCCCAGCAAGACATTTCCGAAGGCACTTTTGGTTGCTGTGATTTTGGTGGTGTCTTCATACTTAATTCCACTTCTTGCGGGCACGGGGGCATTGAAGTCGCCCTCTAGTGAATGGAGTGATGGGTACTTCGCAGAAGTTGGGATGTTGATTGGAGGGGTTTGGCTCAAATGGTGGATCCAAGCAGCCGCTGCGATGTCTAACTTGGGATTGTTTGAAGCAGAAATGAGTGGTGATGCTTTTCAACTTCTTGGTATGAGCGAGATGGGAATGCTTCCATCTGTATTTGCTTCAAGGTTAGTCACTTTGTCTTAATTCTTTTTTTTTTTTTTTTGCTGATTTGTATTCCTATTAAGAAGCAATTCGAGCAAAATATTCCCTATGACCTAATTCAATTACTTGAGATAACTTTTTTATTATTAATATGAGTGTCGGGTTAATCTGTATGTAACTTAATTAATTTTATATATTTTAAAATTAATAACTATATAAGTTTTAGTGGTCTTGAAGTTTATAGAATTCAAATCCATAATTTTTTAAAAATAAATTTAAAATCTAATTGATTTAGCTATATTTTTATAGGTTACCTGGACAATGTTAACAGGTTGAGGGTGAGGCTAAGCATAAATGCTGCTCGTCAATTTTACTTTTTCAGTATTTGAAGTTGACGTTTTCTTATATTTGCCAAATAAGCCCTATTAGTGCACCTCAAGGATGTGGATTCCTCATCAAATTGATTTAACTACCTATGCTTCCCAGGTCCAAAGATGATCAACTAGACCATAATATTTTGCACTTTTATTACATCGTTTGAGAGCTTTTATGTGTTTCTGCAGGTCCAAATACGGAACGCCTACCATCAGCATTTTGTGCTCTGCTACTGGAGTAATCTTCCTCTCTTGGATGAGTTTTCAGGAGATCCTGGAATTTCTGAACTTCTTATATGCTATAGGAATGCTCCTTGAGTTTGCAGCTTTCATAAAATTGAGGATAAAGAAGCCAGAACTTCACAGGCCTTATAAAGTTCCCTTGCAAACACTTGGTGCAGCATTGCTTTGCCTGCCTCCTGCAATGTTACTTGTTCTTGTTATGTCCCTGGCTTCTGTCCAGACATTCTTAGTTAGCTGTGTCGTTATTCTGTTGGGGTTCCTCTTATACCCGACTTTAGTTCATGCCAAAGATAGGAAATGGGCCAAGTTTGTTACAGATGAACCAGGATTGCCTTCCAGCACATCACTAGAAGTGAACTCGGTTCTGCTACAGCCGCATCAGGAAGTAGCAGATGAGGCTTCAGTCAGCCTTCTTTCAGATTTGTCATCTACAAAACTGGGCCAAGAACGCGGTGAAGTTTTGGTGGAAGGAGTTGTGAAAGCAGAATGAGAAGTCCATGTATATTTTTATGCTGTAGATCATGCTAAGAAATTAGCTTCAACGTTATCACTAGTTTATAAAAATACGTTAATTATCTTCATGGCCTGTATAATGTTATTCTAAAGTGCCAGACGGCTTCCTTGAATTGCAATAGTATTTCGATGGCTTGGTAGCTGAATTTTTCTAAATGTGCTCCAGGAAGCTCTGTAATTCTGATTCTTGCCACCACCAAGTAACTTCAGAGCAGAAAAGGACGTGTTTCAATCAGCAAACCAAGTTTTAACCTTGGTGGCTTGAAATCAATAGACTGGCAGTCTGGAAAGGATTTTCAGTGCCTTGGAGAACAAAATCTTGTGTTCTTGAAGGAATCTAATTATAATTCTTAAAAACTTTTCAGTGTACTTCTGGCTTTTAAGCAAGCCTTGTTAGAACAAGAGTCTTGTGATTAAATTGTTTCTTCTACTCAAATAGATCCCTGAAAATTAGAAAGGGGAGGCTTATAATTAAATAATAAATGACACCAGGGGTAACAACTTTAGCCCTGATAATCTACTAATAGACTGACATGCTGTATTCAAGAAATTATTCCACCCCGTTTTTGGGCTGTGTTCAGAAAATTATTACAACCCATTTTTGGGGTTCAACTCCGGGATTGTTTATTATGTTGTTCGTCTTGTTTTTTAATTTTTTTTTAAATAGTATTAAATTCATGTTTTTAAATGTGTTTTATAATTTTAATGTGTGTATATATATATATATAATATTTTTAATTAAAAAATATATTTTTTAAAATATCATATCATGCATTACCAAACACACACATAATAGAATACTCGAGATTTTTTTATAAGCCAAGACTAGATTTATTGTTATTATTATTATTTTAAAGTTCATTCATATTTCTATTAATAATTTTCTTTTGAAATATGAAAGCAAAATCCAAAAATAAAATTTTAATGCTAATCAATAAAAAATATATGAATTTTTTTATTTGAGAATAAATAATTTTTTAAAATAATTTTTAAAATTAATTAACATTAACCATTATTTAAATTATTTAAGAGCATTATTTAGAGTTTTTTAAAAAAACACTAAACAAATCTAAAATAGAAGTTATTGTACTTGCAAACACTTCATTTAATTAATTTTGTTTTTGGATATGTTTTAAAAATATATTTTACTTAAAAAAAATATTATATCAATTTTTTTAATAGTTTTTAATGATTTTTATGTATTACTATTAAAAGAAATATATAAAAAACTATTTTAACATATTTTTTAATAAAAATAATTTTAAAAAATACTTTTCCATCCACACAAAATGTTAATAGGACAGCAAGCTAACATCAACCCCTCTGTCAAAGTGCACTTGTGTTGACTTGTGTCCTGAAAATCGACCCGCCAAGCGCTTTTGGTCTTTGGTCGGCTTCTCTCCTCGCGGGGGAAAAAAAACACGAAGAGGAAAAGGAAAGGGTGAAAGAAAGAAACCAAAAATAGAGAAAGCAAAAGAAAAAAAAGTTTAAAAGAAATAGTTGCGGAGTAACACAAAAAGAAAAAAACCCAAATCATAGTTTGGTACGTACTCCACTCCATCTTGTTTCAATTTTCGATTAACCATTTGGCTTTTGAATTCCATTATAATCTCAAATGGGTTTCTATTAAGAATTCTGAATTTCTTTTTTTAATCTTTTCAGTTTGTGTAACTTTGTTTTAAATGTTAAGTGGTGTTCTTTAGCTAAATTTATACTTGGGGTTTGTTCGTTTCTCATTAGAACTAGAAAAATGTGTTAGCTTTCATTGAATTTTGATGAGTTTTTGTTTACTGTGCTGATGTCAATAGACTGTTTTTGGTATAGCCCTACAGGGTTTTTGGTTTTGGATTTATGAGGAAGCCTTGTGAATCTTGTGATGTTGTGGGTTTTGCTTGAAAGTTAAGATTTTGATGAGGATTTGGATTGGCTGAACTTAAATTGTTTTGGGGAGTGAAAATGACACTATCCAATCAAACATCTATGCGAATTGATACTTTAGAGCTCAAATCCTTGATTGTTAAGAAGATTGGGCAGCAAAGAGCAGATAAATACTTCTATCAACTTACAAGATTACTTAGTTCGAAGGTTACCAAGTGTGAATTTGATAAATTTTGTGTCGGGATTATTGGAAGAGAAAATATCCCTATTCACAACCGATTTATTCGATCTATTCTCAAGAATGCTTGCTGTGCAAAAGTTCTACCATCCAAAGGTTTTAGAAGAGGGGGAAGTAACCTCACTGCTACTACTGCAAATGGATACCAGAAAAACAGTCTTCAATTGCTTTATGGAGATGCCTTGCCTTCTTCCCCTCGCAAGGGAAGGTCACCTGTCAGTGGAGATCGCAAGTTTAGGGACCGCCCAAATACTCCAGACCCACTTGAAAAGCCTCAAAGCGTAGCATGTGAGGAATTGAATGCAGGGGCTCAAGAACAACAGAGTGCTACAGAGTTGCTTTCACTTGGTAGTAGGCCCCCAGTGGAAGTTGTTTCTGTAGAAGAGGGAGAAGAGGTTGAGCAGATCACAGGAAGCCCCTGTGTTCAGAGTAGAAGCCCGGTCACTGCTCCTCTTGGTATTTCCATGAATTTCAGTGGATCTCGGAAAGCTCTTTCAAATGCATCTTTAAGCAGTGATTACCTTAAAGGGACTTGTCTGAGAAGCGGCGGACTACCTGATTCTAGATCATTAAGACATCGGTTGGAGCGGAAGTTGGAGATGGAGGGCATTAGCGTGCCTTTGGACTGTGTTAACCTGCTGAATAATGGTTTAGATGCGTATTTGAAGAGGTTGATTGAGCCTTGTATGGCTTTAGCGGGTTCAAGGCATGGAAATGAGCACTTGAAAAGAGCAAGTGGTCAGTTTGTTCCTGGTTTGAATGGGGCTTTACCTGGAAAATACATCCATAGAGAGACAGAATCACTTTATGCATCCATGTTGGATTTTCGTGTGGCAATGGAGTCAAATCCCCAAATACTCGGAGAGGATTGGCCCACACAACTTGAGAAAATTTCCTTGCTTGGGTTTGAAGAGTGATAAATACTGTCGTCGTTTTAGTAGTTAAGTGGTTGATGAAACTGGAAATCAGTTCCTAGTCACTGTACACTGATAATTAGTTTTCTTTATGCTGATGGAATGCTTCTTATGTTTTCAGCTTTAATAAAGTTGTGAATAAAGAAGCCAGTGCGTCACCGGCCTTAGAATGTTATTATCTTGGTGCAACTAGCCTCGATCTCGTGCTGTTGCTTGTTTTATTTATGCGCCTCTGGCTTATGTGCAAAAATTCTTAGTTTGAGGTGCATTTTTTTTTCTGGGATTCTTCATATACTAACTTGAGATCATGCAAAAGGTATAGAATGGGCCAAATTTGATACAGAAAAACCAGCAGTGCCTTCCAATACTTGTCTGCAGGGACAACTGGGTTGTGCCAGATCCACAATGAAGAAATAGTCAATGAGGCTTTAGTCAGCATTCTTTCCATTTCGTCATGCACAAAAACAGATCAAGAAGACTGAAGTTTTGGTGTAAGGAGTTTTTGAAACCATAGTGAGAAGTTCATGTATACTTCAGTTTTGGAAATCATTTTTAAATTTTGTTGCAACAGGGTCGCTAATTAAAAAATAATGTTCTGGTAAATGATGTTGTTTTCAGTCGGTTGGTCTTTCTTATCGAGTTCTTGGAAATCCTGAAATGGTTGTCCGTGGAGAGACTTTTATGCCAAAGGAAAACAAGAGGGAAAGACGTACATGTCTCTCCATAATTCTGCCTCCTAGATCCGATGGGGGTGTGTTTCAATTAGCAAAGCAAAGGCAATTCCAAGCGATTTCAAGTTTAGTATCACTCGACTGGCTCCTTGGCAATAGTTTTGTCGCTTTACATTATAATTTTCTTACATGCTGCTCAAGAAACAAGTAATCAACCCAATTTACATCCTTTTTCAGGGTTAAATAAAGCCACTAGCTGGATTATTTTGTTGAAGAAATGTAAGGGTAGCGACGACCCGAAAACTCTTAGAAGAGTTTAAAATCTGAAAATTTCTAATATCTGTGAAATAAATTATTCATGTTCTATTGTTTTGAATAAATCAAAGAAATTAAACAAAACTATCCAGACTCTCAGACCAAATTATAGAAAGTACCCCAGCGTGAATAAACATTTGATCAGATTACAGAAATCCGATCATGATCAAGCCACAAGAAATACAAATTGGGGTGCATAGAAGTCAGTCCAAAGTACTTGCCAGAAAACGAAAATAATATATATTTTTTCTTTTATTTCTCGTTCTTTTTTAATTTCTTTTTCTATAGGTAGTAGAAAGCTTTTCAGTTTTCACCAGCATGATCTACGTTGTGGACATTCCTTACATGCAGAACATGTAGGAAAACAAAATTAGTTTTTTTAAAAAAGCAAACTAACAGGTCTTTCTGAAAGTGCACGTGACATGTGTTGTGTGACTTGTGTCCTAAAACAAGCCCCTGAGCCGTCCCTTCTGGCTGCGGTCTGTTTCTAGACACCCAAAAGCACCTTACCAGCGAAAAAAGAGTTGTTGCGTCAACGGGAAACCATTGCTTGCACAAGCACAGACTAACATTGGAAACCCTAATTCCAATTGGGTAGGTATCTCTTCTACTTTGTTTTAATTCAAAATTAGCCATTTGCGTTTTCGATTTTCATTGAAATCTTAAATGGGTTTCTATTATTTTTTCAATTCGATTCTTAAATTCCCCTAATTGTCTTTCCATCTCTGGAAATTCTGTTCATGTTGTTCTTAAATTAAAATAATTATATTCCCTGTTTTGGTTGTGAATATTTTTATATTAAACATTACAAGCTGTTATTTTAGCTGAATTTGCACCTAGGGTTTTTTAATGTTTGATTAGAACTAGAAAAAATGTGTGAACTTTGTTGAATTTTGATGTATTTCTGGTTACTATGCAGATGGGAACGGTGCTCAGGGAACTAGGGTTTTAGGTTTTAGATATCTGAAGAAGCATATTAATGATGTGGGTTTTGCTTTAAAGTTCAAGATTTTGGATTTGGTGAAGATAGATAATTTTTTAGAGAGAGTTGAAACAATGGGGTCGAATGAAATGAATAGTCGAATTGATACTTTGGAGCTCAAATCTTTGATTCTTAAAAAGTTTGGGCATAAAAGAGCAGATAAATACTTTGATCAGCTTACAAGATTGTTTAGTTTGAAGATTACCAAATGTGAATTTGATAAGTTTTGTCTTAGGACTATTGGTAGGGAAAATATCTCTCTTCACAACCACTTTATTAGATCTATTCTCAAGAATACTTGCCTTGGGAAAGTTCCACCGCACAAAGGTGTTGAAAGAGCAGGAAGTAACCTAACTGTTAAAACTGCAAATGGGTATAAGAGAAATTTTCTTCAGTCGCTTTACAGGGATGCCTTTCCTTCTTCCCCACGCAAGGGGAGATCACCTGTTAGTCGAGATCGCAAGTGTAGGGACCGCCCAAGTCCTCTGGGCCCACTTGGGAAGCCCCAAAGCATGGCATGTGAGGAATTGAATTCCAGGGCCCAAGAGCATCAAAGCGCTACAGAATTGCTTTCAACAGGTAGCAGACCTCCAATTGAATTTGCTTCTGTGGAAGATGGAGAAGAGGTTGAGCAGATGGCAGTAAGCCCTGGTGTTCAGAGCAGAAGCCCAGTTACTGCTCCTTATGGTATATTGATGAATCTAGGTGGATCCCGTAAAGCGCTTTCAAATATTTCTAGAGGGAGTAATTACATTCCAGAGACCTGTCTAAATAGTGGAGAGCTACCAGACACAAGATCATTAAGAAGTCATTTGGAGCAGAAGTTGGAGATGGAGGGCATCGGTGTGTCCTTGGACTCTGTTAACCTGCTAAATAATGGGTTGGATGTGTATTTGAAGAGGTTGATTGAGCCTTGTATGGCTCTAGCTGGCTCAAGGTGTGATAATAAGCAGTTGAAAAGTGCAAGTGGTGAGTTCATTCCTAGTCTGAACGGAACATTACCTGGGAGATATGCACAAAGACACAGAAAATCAGTTAATGCATCCATGTTGGATTTTCGTTTTGCAATGAAGTCAAATCCCCAGGTACTTGGGGAGGATTGGCCCGTGCAGCTCGAAAAAATTTCCTTGCGTGGTTTTGAAGAGCGATAAATACCATCTTCACTGTTGTATTAGAATTAAGTGGTCGATGAAATGGGTTTTCAGTTGATAGCCACTTACATAGATAATTCAGTTTTTGAATCGATCATTTACTCCAATTTTGCTCTCCTCTTGGCGTGGGGCTTTACAGACAGTCCCAAGGGGAATAATAACTAGCAGAAGCTGTGGAAATCTTTGGTCAGCTTGACCAGGTTGCCTTTAGATGCCAGCAGTCATAATCGTTGAAGGGAAACTTGTTTATACAGTACAGTGTAATTCTAGATACAGGTTAGAGCTTAGCTATTTTAGGAAATTTACACGATTCTTCTACCAATCTCTTATTGGATTTTGCCTCCCTGTAGCGTGTTGGGTTATCAATGAACAAAAGTTTCTTTGATTTGGAATGATGTTTACTTGTTAACAAAATTTCAATTTGCATTTAATCACCTCATCCTCACATTTGCGATTTGGAAGACGGGTGACTCGGTATCGAATCTGATGTGAATTGCTGATTGTTGAATCCTATTATTCCCAGTAAGGTCTGAAACTTCCTGCTATAGAAGGTGAAAACTGATGTTTATAGAGTAGACAGTGCAATTATCTATGCTTATTCTTCTGCAGTATCAATTTCCAAAAATATTAACATTTTTCCCTTTGTCAGCTTTTTAAAAATGGAGTTTGATATAAATTAAACGTAATCCCGGAGGGCAATGTTTCAAAGAGATGTTTCCAATGACATTAAGCCATTGCTTTGCAAAACACTAAGTTCTACATTACAAATCTGGTAAATTATCTCAAAACAATCATGAGAAGACAAGATGAGGTTGCTATTCTCAATTATAGCAGAGATCTAACTCTCAAGTTCAGCCATCGTACTATTTTAGATACCATAACTGCATGGCATTGAAGGCATCATTGAGTTTCGTTGAACTGATTATGTACGCAACCACCAGTGCAGGGCTGTGTAGCTAGGAGACATGATTTTGGTGAAGGAAAGAATTGGTAAGCATTGAGCCCATCATCCGGAGGAGCCTGCTTTCTCTAAACTTGCCATGTATGTCATGTAGACAGTCCATAGATATGAAAACGAGTTGCTCACCAAGGGCTGTCAACATGAGACATCAGGGGCAAAGTCAAAAGTGCAAAAATCAGATCATATCAAAAGGATGGACAATAGTTTTGACTACAGCAATGAACCTACTTGTACCTGTAAATGGACAGGAATGAATTTGAATGTGACAAAATCACATACAGGCCAGTACATAACACCGTTTATCATTGTAGGCAATAAATCTCGCTTCAACCGGGCAATAATCTCAGCACTATTCTCACCTGAACCAGGCAATCAAGTCAACAAACACTTTACTATAAAGTTTAAGTAGCTCGTACAGGTGATTGTTTCTTCTGTGGAACCCACTTGACCATCATGAAGATCAAAATGGAATACATTGTTATTGATTGACCAATTTGACAGTACAGGATCTGTCTGTTGAATACACGTGAACAAAGATGCAAGTGTAGTAGAGAAGGCATGCACATTGACAGAATGTTGTTAATGCCGAGAACTATGAATTCAGAACATTTTAGCACCTATAAAGTCAAATTGAACTCAAGAATGTGCCAGAGGTTGCACTTCATAACGTATATTAGATATATTGTCAACAACTCACAGTTATCATAGTTAAAATCTTCTGAGTTAGTGAATTACTTAAAAACACCTCCTGCTTCAGAGTTACTAAAAACAACTGCTCGTTTTAATTATTCCATGCTTATTAAATGGATTTTTCACATTAAATGAACTGGCCATCAACATCCAGGGAAGAAATAAATGAACGAAAAATTTCATACTCAATCTAGTTTATTTGTTAGCTTGCAGACTTCTATGCTCACAGCCCAAAAGTGGTATCTCAAATTGCAAGAATTACCCTGTGCTTACCCTGTAGGCGTGCATTCAATGAGAAGAAAACAACAGTCATGATAGGTCCGTAGATGGTCTGACCCATGAGAATTTTCTTAAATGTCGTGATTAGATCTCGTTTTGGTAGGAGTTTTGAGACAAATTTGAACCAAAAATGCAGTGATGGTCCTACAATCAGCAACCCATATCCAGCCATGCGCAATGTCCTCACCAGATCATAAGATTCCGAACTTGGCAGTGAAATTGTCTGAGCAAAAATCGAAGAAATTTTTGTGGAAGAGTGTCAGGGATAATAGTTTCCTGGGCAAACATGCAAATATTAATCGCAGCTATTTGCATCTAATTCTGGCATGGACTTGCATTTAGGCAGGCAAGGAGGAGAAATAGGTCAAACAAAAATGCAAATAGGAAGAGAAGAGTAGCGATGCTGTGTGCATCTCATCCCAATCCTAAGATGACTTGAAAGCATGCTTTGTCAAGACATTCTAAACAGAAAGTACAACGCAAGCTCAACAGAGTTGCTGGTTTATAGTTTTATTGTCCTGTCCCTACTAAAGAGAGAGGACTGCTAATGAAATGCTTGCAAGGAGTGCCTCTTGTCCACAGTAGTGAGATAGAACAGAGGTATAAAGCAGATAAAACAACATAAACGAAAACATGATAGCTCATATAATTGGAGCAATCATAGTTTAATCCAAGCTACAACTACAACAAATGAAGCAACGTCCAGAATTTAACAATTTATCATAGCAGAAAAGGCCCATCCATAATTTCCAACCACATTAGTCCAATCAACAAAAGGTTCTTCATCACAGTGAAAAAGAAGAAGGCTCTCTACCACATTATAAACAGCTCCATAGAAATACTAAATCCATCATCTCACAGGGCAGAATAACAGAACTTGCCATCAAATCAAACAGCTCAGGGTAATCGCATCACAATTATAGCTTAATAAAATATAACTCAAGTTCATATCTAAAAGTTCACCCAAAACAAAAGGAGGAAGGCCCTTATTGTTAGAAATAAAAAAATCATTTCTTGAACCATGTATAAACTATTCTCTTTTTCAATATACCAACATGACCCCGGTTTAATTCTCTCACGTTTTGTTTGTTGCTCCATGTATAACTAACTACTCTGTGAACACAAACTAAATCCATTAAAATTGAAAATTAAATAGCAAAAAACAAATACTTAAAAAGACCCGATTTTTAAAGCAAATCACTTAAACAACAAAGACCCAGTAACTTAAAAGCCATGTTTAACAACTCGGTGGCTCTACATTTACCTGAGACGACAAGTCAGCAGCAATGTAAATAAGAGAGGAAGTGGCACTTTTGGTCAAAACAGGTCGTGACTTAACCATCCCCAGGTACCAACCAATAAACCCAAACTTGAAAAACGCAGCGTTTTCAGCCTTTGAAGAGAAAGAAGAAGTCAAAAGAGAAGAAGGAGAGAGCTCATTATTGTACTCTTTTGATCTCTTAAAAACATTTGAGAAACCAAAGTAAGCTTTTCTTGACTGTTGTTGTTGTTGTCTGAAAACCGAATGAGCTGCTGGGTCTTTGATGTTGGTGATGGTGTGGGCGAGTAACAGGCGGGGAATGGTGGAGTTTCTCATGAAGGAGCCGCTCATTTTGGTGGTGTCTAGAAAGCGAGTTGGGGGTTTGGGCTCACAAAAACAACTCTTGCACTTTCAAACACCCTCTCTCTGTTTAAAGAGCTTCTTCTAGCAGTGGTTGAAAACTCCACCTTCCAACATTGCAGCACAATTCCCATCGACTTTCTGACACGTGTCCTTCCCACCATTCACTTGAAGCCACGTATCATTTATTTTTACTCGTTTCCTGGAAATGTTTTCAAACACGATTAGCTCCGTCTATACGAATGACACGTCGTTTTAATTGAACAAAGACTATTTTGAACGACTCCAACACGCGTTGGTATTCTCGCACCATCCACGAATCACGTGTTAGCTAGTTTTTTTTCCTAAGAAATTAAAAAAAAAAAAAACAGAACCTCATCCAAGGTTAGAATAGAAGGTTTTCGAGAAGTATGGTATTATAACAGTGGATGTAACTCAACGTTAGCTTAAAAATGATTATTGAAGTGATTGGTTTTGATTTAATCAGCAAATGAAATTGAAAGTTAATCTATAAAGGTTAGCATATGTACGTGAATTTGGTTTCAGATGAGGTGTTTGAGGATTATTTTTTTAAATAGTCTTTTATTTAAAAATACATTTAAAAATACATTAAAGCTTTAATTTTAAAGGCATATAAAGACAAATTTATTAAAGGGGTGGGTTAATCGGAGGTAGTCCGTCTTTGTCAGTCGCCAATCTTTCTTTTCCGGGTTACATCTAACGTCTTTTTCTCTCCAAGTTCTTGCGAGTTAAAGGTCTTTGTACAAGAAGGTTCCAATTCAAATGCTCAAAATGGGATTTGGCTGACTTAATTTTTTGGGAAACATAAGATGTAGGGCAAGGCACGAGAATATAAATAAGAAACCCTTCACAACGGGAGACATACTTACCTGGACGGGGTTAATGGACGATCAAGAACGTCCATGGTCTGGGTCAGTGACGTCTATTGCATTTAGGATGGGTGATGGTTTAAGATCTCCCCAGGAGGAAGAGCCTACGTTATAATTTGTGGGAGAGGGCTGCCCAAGTCGCGGCCCCTGTGCCCCTAAGAGGGAAAAAAATCTTTTGCTTAAAGTTCATATCCAGTTTTAAACACTGATCAGACATTCTTCAATTCTGCCAGCAGTTTGATTTTCATGAAATCATTCTTTTTGTCTAGTTTTTGTTTTCATTTCCCACATCGGAGAAAAAAGAAATAACCTGTGAGAAAGTGCCTATAAACATCAAGCAGACAAGATGTTTAAGGCACGCAGCCGCGCGGTGAGCACAAAGCGAACTATTCTTTCGCCTTTTACTAAAGAATACCGTGTGCGCGCCGCAGTCACCGGCTTACGCTTATTTTTGGAGGGTTCTTTTCATTTTGTTAAGGACCCTAACTGGACAGTTTAAAGTTACGTTGCTTCTCTTTAGACAAAAATTGTCATAGATAAATGGTCCATGTGTCAGTATTTGCCCTGGATTCTTGTTGAAGGCTCAAATTGTGAGGGTGTATGAGGTATGTGGGTCGTTATTATCTCTGCGTGCTGTCAACACTACTGTCAAAGCCTTTGCAGAGTTACCAGACCACTGCTTCTAAAGTGCTGAAGGGGATAAAACGTAGTCAAGACTCATAGTGTATGTGATCTAGCTATGCCTCCAGACATGCGAGCACTTGTACAGTCAAAAGGGGATAAATCAAACCATGGCCAAGTGGTAAATGGGACTAAAGGGTTTGTTCTCTCCGTTAATCTAAAAAAAAGAAAAAAAAGGATAAATCATTTTCACTGAAACTCACTTTGTGAGACCGTCAACATGTTACCGAGGGTTTCTTTAAAGTATTACCAAATCAGTATAAACAGTCTAGTCATGATAATAAGTTCTTGCTTTTAGATTCCATCTTTTACAACAGAGTAAAAGCCTAGAAATTTCACTTAACAAAAAAGACGGGCAGTGAACTACAAGTATTTATTCAGTCCTCAATCCTTAGCTCTGCAACTGCATCAGTATCTTAAACAACGTAATAAACAGCATGTGGTTTGCCATTATTTTGTGTCTGAACAAGTTTTATGGCTTTGGAATCTGCTGTCAGACATTGCTTGGTACTGTCAAATACGCATAGGTATGTATTTCTTCTTAGTATAAATTAGATTCTATTGCCAGTCATTTTTCAGTCTTACGATCAAGAATAGCATGTCTTTGTACAAGAATCATCAATGAGAAACCTCAGATTTCTGTGTGTGTGTGTGTAATAACTTTTCTATTCACTGTATTAATAACAATGAGCTACATTTTCTCCTTGGTAATTTCTGATAGGTTATTGTTCTTTTTTTTTTTTTCCCCTTTTGTTCCAAGTCAGATTATCATCAATTGTCACAAGAATGGGGATGATGCATTGATCAAGTTGAATAAGGTCTCGATACAAAGCTTCGGAGGAATCTGCCCAAATCCTCTCACCAAATCAACCTTTGAAGTTCATTTTTTGGAACAGATACTTGGGATGGAAATGCTTTACAACCTTCGCTAATTCTGGATTTTGATTCTCTACCATACAATCAATCAGTTTTTAAGGCATCAACATATCTCTACTTGGTATTAAATATAACTCATTGGACTTGAGAAAATATGTGCAGGTGCATTGGGAATGCAATTAAGCATTGTACGTTCAACTTTACAATCCCACACAAAGAAAATACAAAGTTTAAGCAAGGAATGTGTCTATAAATAAGAAGCTCGAAGCAACATGATTCATACTTACCTGGACGGGGTTGATGGGCGATCAAGAAGGTCCATAGCCTAGGTCAGTGGCATCTATTGCACTGAGGATGGGTGCTGGCTTAAGGTCTCCCCAAGCGGGAGAGCCTACGTCAAAATTTGTGGCAGAGGGGGCTGCGCAAGCCGCGGCCCCTGTCCAATTCTAGCTCAAGACTTTTTTTAAGTCCTACTTGTAATTCTATGGCAACATTTCCATGGGAAATTATGTTTTGTTGTTTTTCTTCTCTTTCATTATTTGTTGGTTCGGGTCTTAATCCCCTGTATTGTGAACAGAAATTTGTTACACATGATGCATTGAAACTTTGAACTTCCATGGCTCATTTTTTTCTCAGGATTCCTTTCCTTTTCCTTCAAAAAACAAGTCTTTCATTACCTTTATCCTACGAATAACTCAAAAGTTTTTGAATGTTTTGTCCATGATGCGTTCAGAGAGGGCAAAAGATTTCATTCAAAATCAGTGTTCTCCCATTGATTCTGTTTAGTGTTTCTGTTAGGAGTGACGTCAAATTTCCAAACACAACCAAAAGTCTGACATTTTATTGGAACCGATAGGACTTGATTTCAGAGAAATGGTTCGTCAAATTTACTCCCTGTAGGCAAATGAAGCAAAAAGAATGATATTCACAGCGGCAAATGATGCTGCCCGATTGTTTCTGGGGAATGATGACCTGATATTGAAATGGCAACACGGTCAGCTGCAATGTCACAGAGAGTTAAGCTTACCAGCTAATGTTCAGCAAGACAAAGATACGAGTCATCTCTTCTCGAACATCAAGAAAGATAGCAGAATCTGGTCAAGAATTGCAAGAGAAAGGGAAGAAGGTTTATGTGAAAGTAAGGTCTTTCTATGAAATTTCTTTCTTTCTTTAACTTCAGGAAAGTTTCCTCACGATTTTTTCCAATTATGTTTTGAGTGATAGCATGACTAATTTCTTTTAAGTTACGCAATGAAAGGGCCTTTTATTCCTAGATTATAATATGCTATCCAAAACAGATCATTGATAAGGAAATGATCAAGACTTCCTTTCTTTTCTTACAATGACTGGAAATATATTGCAAGAAAAACCCATTTGAGATGCCCCAGGAGAACATGATGCCCTCCCTTTCTATCAAGGATGTAGTTGTGCTCTGGAGATAGAAGACCCAGTCTCAAAATCAATATCTACATATCGATTGAATGAGAAAATGAATGACGCTGCAGATGCGCAAGGGAATGAAGAGGATGCTAATCTCTCAATAAAGAGCGAAAGGAATTCTGATCTAATCAATTGCTAACTATGTACAAATCAAGCAGCTAGTTCTAGTTCAAGTTCAGGATCTTTTATTTTTTAATGGCCATTCCCGCTTATCAGTAAATTTCACATTACAGTTCAAATACATATCCCTCTTTAAAGGATAAAAGTTAATATTTCCGTCCCCATGCGCTTATGTTAATATCCAAATACTTCTATGTTTATATTCCTCTTGTATATATCCCATTTATCAAGAAATACTAACCAACCACAACCTAAGAAAGATCACAACACGTCCAAATCCATCAAAAAGGTTACAAAAAATTGTGCAGGTTCAGAGTGAAAACAGAGAAAATTTATAGCAGATGCCGTGTAGAATACTAATTTGGCTGCTCACTTTTACATATTAATAATGCGGACACTGTCCTCCATTGCCTAATGAGGGATGTTTCCCTGCGCTCCAATATCAAAGATCCGTTAGCACTGAGGAAGGTAGGATAAGAGGTCTATGATCAACTCGCAGATCTTGTATAACCATTTTATTTGCTAACTTGATTAACTTCTACGCATGAACAACGTGCCATTGTCAACTACATGTCGTAACAAGGCATATCCCCAGCTAAATTATCTTAGATAAGTTTCGGCATTACAGTCTTCGAGGAGGGTCGACTAAGTTCAAGCTTTCTTCAGCATCCAAAGTCGTAAGGCACTAGTCCCTTCAGCTCAGGTCCATTAAGCTTGTTGTTTTCGAAACTGAAACAAGCCAGCAAAAATCAAACAGGTTCACGGAAAATCAACCAAGACAGTGCCATATCACGCTTCATGCATGTATTATGAAACAAGTTATTTGTTTTTTATATCGTAATGTACGATAAATCACATAGCAGCTTTAGAATTCCATATTTTTTGTGTTTGCAACAGTTCATTGAATTTATTGATACCTTGCATGCATCAAAGTATTTGCAATGCTCATGACTTGTATCAATCCATTTGCTGGTGTACTTGCATCTCCATGTGGCTGATGCAAGCAGTGTTGACAGCTAAAGTGGACATAAGTGGGGAAAAAAACCGGTACTTTCACAAAAAAGCCTATGGAATTCTACATGATTGACGGGTTCCCGGTTGTCACTATTGGGGCAGAGAAATTATGTTTGGCAAGTTCATAAATGCAACATGCCAATCACATGTTCTGCACTGACTCACGCAGATAAACTGGCGCTCGTTATATGGGGGACTTTTAGGGAGACTAACAATTATATTTCAGATATTCAATTGGCCATAAGAAATACAGTAAATGACGAGGAAGTAACTTCCATGCCTTAGTAATTCAAGAAAACTAAAAGCAAGACATGTTGTGTTGACAGGATCTAGATACCTTTCCATTGGAAAAGAGGCAAAGGGACCGTCGACTGGAATTGTTCCACAGAGATCGTTGTTAGAAACATCACTGCAAACAAAAGCAAAACATTTAAAAAATTAGAATACTCATAAGCAATCTAAATAGCTATTATTTTGTAATTTCAAACATCTTCCTTGTTCTCTACTTACAAAACTTTGAGGTCTTTAAGAGTTGTGAGCTCCCTTGGAATAGATCCTGATAGCTTGTTGTTGTTTAGTCGACTGTACCGTCAATTCAACCAAATTAAAGTTCAAAGTTGAAGTAATTTCTGAGTTGTGTGTGTTCAAATTGCTTAGGGCGATTAAAGTGAAAATGCTTACAGGAATCTGAGAGACTTCAACTTGGCAAAAGACTTGGGTATTTCTCCTTCAAACCTGTTGCCATACATGTCCATGCTAACAAGGTTTTTCAAATTACCCAACTCCGTGGGAATTTTCCCTCCTATATCATTCCTATAAAGCTCCCTGCAGGCATTCAAGGCCAACACAACCCAGTTATTTAATATAATCATATGAAAAACAAATACAGCGGCTTAATCACAAAGCAATTGATAGGATGATATATAGTCCTAGAATTGCATGTAAACTTCTTCACAGAATGTTTCCGAGGAAACAAAAGCCTGAACTCTACTGGGTCTCGCTCAACAAAAAATACCAAATGCTTCTTTCCTTTGAAGAAAAACAGAAAAATCAGAGCAGAAACGGGATGTACTCCAGGGTCTCAACTTCTCCTGTTTTTGGCTGATGTTTTCACAACATAATAGATAATAAGGTGCAGCAAAAGGGGAAGAAAAATGACATACAGGTACTTTAGATGCCTGAGTTCTCCAAGCTCAGGTCCCAAGGTTCCAGAAATATTAGAATTACCCAAATCCCTGAAATTCAAAAAAACAAAAAAAGTTGGAAATAAAACAACATAATCATAAATAGAATTGCAACATATCTAAAAATGTAGAATGAAACAAGCAAGAGAGGGAGGGAGGGAGAGGGCTAAGAAAATACAAGCGAGTAACATGATTACTGGAATCACAAGTGACATGGAACCAGGTGCAGGGATTGACAAGAGTCGGGTCCCAACTCTGCAACACATTGGTTGAATCAGAAAGCCTACTCCTCAGGGCATGCAAAGCATTTCCTGGAACCCCAATACAAACAAACAAAAGTCACAAAACAACAAAATCAGAATTCAGAATTCAGAAATCAGTAAACCCAAACCCATCCACGTTTTCTTACCAACAAAAGCAGAATCAAATGCTAAAAAATCTACACAAGAAATAATCCAAACCTAAATCCTTAAAACCATCACACTACTCTCTTTTCATGCCAAGATACAAAAAGAAAGGTAATATTATCATCATGTCAGTGCAGTGCTAAAGGTCGAAACTTTGAAACTCAAAGGAGTGAAGTTGATGAGCAGTAGTACCTTCAGAGTTGGTGGAAAGCGAGGGGGAGATAGTGAGAAGAAAGGAGAGAAAGAGAGCTAGAGGGTAAAGGCGAGCCATTTTTTTAGATGGAAGATAGACAGCGAAGGAAGGTGCATAAAGAAACAAGAAAAACAAAGAGAGTCGAGTCAAATGTTTTCGAGTGGAATAAGAAATTAGTTCTTAAAAGTGGGTTTCGCTTTCACACGCTATTTGTTTCGAAGAAAGACCAAAGATGTTGCTGTACCACACCACACAACACAACACAACAAGAAGAGAAGATGATAGTGCGAGTTGAAGGGAGTGGGAAGGAGAAGACAGAGACAGCCAATGGCAGTGAAGTGTTGGGCTTTTGACTCTCACACTCACGAATTGGGTGTGCTGTGAGTCTTTTGCGCGTTCATTTTCTGGTGTGTACTGTTAAGGATCTGTTTGGAAGGACAGTAGAAACTGTTTTTAAATAATATTTATTTATTTATTTATTTATTATCTCACAACATTAAAATAAATTAAATATATATAAAGATAAATTAAAAAATAAAAAATATATATTTAAACTGAATCAACACCTAACAATTAATGACTTTCGAGTTTAAAGCTTAGCAGTTGAGGTTGATTAATCACTGGGAAGGCTTTCTGAAGAGTAACAGCAGTTAAAAGGGCATTTTGGGAGGAGAGAATAGGTTGTTCGGCTGGGGCCCGCTAACATGCTATGCCACGTCATCCAGACCCCATCGTGGTTGCGATGCATTCCATTTATAGGTTAAATTACTTCCTGTATTTGAAACATAAATCTGATTTTCAAATAGAATTTAATTTATAAAAATATATAAAATCAAATATATATTTTTTATTTACTATAGTAATATTTATTTAAATTAATATTAAAAATAACATTTTAGAAATATTCTTAACAACACAAACTCTATTATTGTTTTCACAAAGAGAAAGGTAGCATATGAATGGATTGTTTCTATTTTTTAACCTTAGATACAAGATTTTCCTTTTTGTCATGATAATTTAGCTCTAAAAGCTTAAATACACTAAATACTATCTAAATTAATTAAAAACCATTCTAAGTTTTCATACCCAACAACCTCATAAATAAAACACCATCAAGAAATATAGTTGAAATTATATTTTTTAAAATTTAAACTTTTTTGTCTAAAATAATTTTTTTATGTTTTTAAATTATCTTTAAATATTGATATAAAAACTATATTTTTAATAAAAAAAAATATATTATTTTAATATATTTTTAAATAAAAAACTTTAAATCCAACTGACCCAATCTCAAAATCTCTATCCTTGGGGAGAGTCCAGTCAAGGTCAGGCAAAACAAATGGCTCACAAAAAGTGCAGCCATTTGTGCAAAAACTTCAGGATTTGACAGGGAATGGGCCATCAGGACAAGAAAGGCTTGCAGGTGAGGTGATCATCCTTCCATCTGCCTTCAGGGAAGCAATTTTGTAAATCCTTGCAACCATGCGATTGATTTGATCTATTTAGCATAATATTTTTTTAAAAAAATTTAAATCTAGTAACCGGCAAAATTGATTTCTGGTCTTTGTATGCTAATAACCATCACTTGCATTTTTATTTCAAATATGAGATGCCCTTTATTTATCAAAATACTTTGAGGTTTCTTTATTTGATTTTAACAATAAGCCTATCTCAAATGAGATTTCCTTACAAGGTTATCCATTGTCAAAATCTTATTTTGGATAGTGGTATACTTTGAATTATTTAAAACAAAGAAACTCCATCAGCCTTTTATTATAGGGCTAGATTCATTATGCTGTGGATGTAATAGTGCAATGACATTCTTGCACTTCATTGCAAAATTCAAATGGTCTCTCTATAGGGTAAAATATTTTTTTTTTAAGATTTATTTGGTATTACAAAATTAATTTGGGGTATGATAGTCTATCAATTTTTTTTTACATGGTTAAATAACATAAATATCCTTTAAAGGTAAACATGAAATTGAAGGATAACAGGGGCTTTTGCATCATTTTTTTTTAAATATTAAAATCACTTCATTGTCTTTCAATTCAGAAAAATCAAAGAGGTAAAAGAGGTATTTTGATGTTTTACTTATGGTTTCTTCATTATAGTCTAATTAAATTAAGGGCAAACCAGTTTTTTAATATATATAAAAATATTATGGTTGGTATAGGTGGAGCACGCATTAGTGAGTGGATATCATTAGTATCTTTTAAGCGATGTGTGTAATTTCTTCTAAATTCTAAAATTTTTTAACCGTTGTGTCTTTTAAAGTATTTAGTGGCGGTGCAGCTAATGAGGCAGCTCTTTTTCATTTTTCTCTCTCTCCTTTCCTTGAAATCTATGCTAGGTCAGCTAAAATTCAAAATTGTCTTTCAATTTATTTTTTCTTTCTATTATAGTTCTCCTTCTTTTGATTGGTTTTTATTTGTTTTTGATTTTTTTTATTGTTTTTTTCTTTGATTTCCTCCCTTTCCTTTTGATTTTATTTAATTTTTATATCAAATATAATCCCTATTCTTTTGATTGTTATTTTTTTTTAACTTCATCCCTTGACATTTTATTTTTGATATTTTATTTTATTTATTATTTTATCTAATTTTGGTTTTCGTTCTTTTAATTGCTCTTTTTTTTTATTTTTTTTTAAATCGACAAAGTTCAAAGACAAATAATTTTAATGCAAAGTGATGAAACTAAAAAAATAATAAAATCATAAAGAAATTGAGGAAAAAAACCAACTTAACCCGAATTAACTCGATTGATCCGTCACTCACGATATGAGATCAAAATTAAAAAAAAATAGACTTTCAAAAAATAAACCTAGGAAAAAAATCAAAATTAAATAAAAAATATTGAGTAAAAAATAGTAATTAACTTAGATTAACTTAATTAATCTGCATTTGAGATAACCAAATAAAAATAATATAATAACTTTCACCGCAATCCAAGTAGACCTTTTCCAGCATGTGTCATTTTACTGTTGCAAAAAAGTAAAATAACCTCAAGGTTAATTCTTTGTTTTATTACTATATAAAAAAGAAAAAGATGGAGAAATCTTTTTATGCATTATCTTTCAAAAGTATGATCATAACTTTTCTTTTTATTTTTTTTTAAAACCCATCATAAAAAGATTATTTTTTTTATTTTGAAGGCAAAATAGTTATTATATTATAACAAAAAATATATCTAGATTATTTTGTCCCTAAATAATTTTATAATGACAAATATATCCCATAAAAAAACATTTTTATCCTAAATTGCAGGCTTAATCAAGTTTTGTGCCAAGAACAAAATTATATTTACATTCTTTCGATCCATAATTTTCTTATATCTAGGACCACCATGAAAAATTGAGCTTATTTAATTTTTTTTTATAATGAGTTAGAGATGGTAAGTATAGGAGTGTCGTTGACATTTTTCCATCGTTTGCTGACAGTTTTACCTTGCAATGTTATATGAAAATTTATATGGCTCGCAAGCAACTTGCCGTTTGCCCTTTCATGACAAAAAAAGAGGAAGAAGCAGAAATTCATTCCCGCCCCTGAAAGAATGCTATGATATGCCACCCCCAATGAAACAATCTCTACTCCCCCACAAAGAAATGAAGAACAGAATTCAAAAGGTCAAAATATGAGGCGTAGAACCATCAACGTGTACATGGGAAGCGCATCAAGACAATTAACCAGAATTTTCACGCATCTAAAACCCATATGGCGCGAATCATGAAATTGTTCGAAGAGTAGCAACGTACTTAAAATTCTATCATGGATTGCAGTTTGCAAGTTACTGTTTTACACTTTTACAGGCGTCATTTTTAAGATGCGGGAAGCAGGCATACACATCGGACTTCGCGTGCTTTGCTTCAGCGTGTTCCCGGCACTTCACCTCTGTTGTGGTACATATGAATGTCTGCATGCACACCTTGCACTGCATTCAGCATCCATTATCCGCCGGATCAATATGGAAGGAACCGGCGACGGTGTCAAGAGAGACAGTAACAACAAGAGATCAAGTCACAACCTTGTAAAAGACTGAATAAAGTATGTCAAATTTATAAAGAATGAGAGCAAATTCATAAACAACCAAATATAATTGAGCCAACGAAATACAAATTTACGTCAACCACTAGATGACTATATTCTAAAAACAAAATGGCCAAGAAACATGGTAAAACTCCAAGCATAAATCAGAAACAAGAACTTAAAGAACTCGGTACTGTGAAACCTTAAATGCAGAATGGTCTAATGTTCACGACCTATGAAATAAAGTTCTCATTGTTCATATTGCCGTTTGTATTCCAGGAGGGTCACAGATCTCTATAAAAAATCCCTCTTTTTTTCATTGTTCTATGTATATCAATCCATCCTGATTTATGCAAGACACGATCAGACGAGTATATCGGAACTGAATTAAAATCCAAGAGTGCATCGGATCGACTTGTACCAAATGAAAGGAAAAGTCTGATCAAGAAAGGCATCTATTTTGAACAGCGAATCTACAACCAGAAGTACAACTGGAGAAGCTCTGAGGGAGCTTAAAACAAAGGTAGAAGCTTAAAAAAGAAAACTCCAGCTAATGTGTTACATACCTGGATGACAGAAAGTGGAAAGAATTACAACAAAGAGAATTAAGATTACTAGCTTAACAAGAACGAGCGAGAAGTAGAGACGTCAGGAGCACGCAACCTGTTGTTTGGTTGATAATATTCTGTTTGTTAGTCGGAGTTCATTCGGTTAGCAGAGTTTGTTAAATCAGTTAAGAGTTAGTTAGAGTAATCTGTTAGTAGTCAATATAGATTACTATAAAAGCACATGGCAAGGATTGTATTGGACATGAATAGATTGCAGTCCAAATTCGATCTTCTTTCTTTCTTCTCTAACTCTTCTCTGCTAATAAACTTCTGTTCTTAACTTCGTCTTCTTCTTGACTTGTTAAGTGATCTTAACATAATGCCAAATTTCAGGCCGAAGCATGGAAGAAACAAATTCCTAATTCTCACAAAGACGATCCGATTACTTATTGCAAACCTCACGAACTGCTATTACTAACAGAACAATCATTAACCAAACAAACTAAAATCGAAGAAAAAAATGATGCTGATTTGCTGTCAAATGGCTATAAGATCATATAATTCAGAAAAAATATACTAACAAGAAATGATACCATAAAAGAAGGAAAAAGAAAAACAGACAAGAAATTATATAGCATATATGTGATAACAAAATTTAAAAGCAAAAGCCTGCGGAGAGACTACCTGGATAGTCATAGCTTTTTTGTTAGACTCAAGTTGGCTTCCTATACTCACAAAAATCAAATTATAATCACTGAAGAAGCAAACTTTGGGGAAATTATATAAGGTAAAAAGAAATATGAAGAATACCCTTTGCAGCTTTTTGCTTCTCTATGTTCCTCTCACGAGCCATCTTTGATTTCTGACCGTTGCCTCCTCCCATGGTGATTTGGTTTAATATTTTTTTTGGGTTTCTGATTGTGTGTTAGGAATTACAAGGTAGAGGGAGGGGAGCAGGAGGTGTCTTGAAAGAAGAAGAAAAAGAAGAATAGCCAACAAAGAAAGGCAAAGAAAAGTTAGTAATGAAGTACCCCAACAAGGAAGCAAAGTTAGTCGTTGATGCGAATAATTAATATTGTGGGGTCCTTTAGGAGAAAAGAAACAGTTAGGACAAGGATTTTGTATGAGGTACCCAAACGAGGAAGAGAAGTTACTGGTTGATGCGAATAATTAATATTGTGGGTTCCTTTAGGAGAAAAGGAATAGTTAGGACAAGGATTTTGTTTGCCATTGGCTGCCTTTACTTTACTTTCCTTCTTGTTTTTGTTTTTATTTTTTTGGTTCCGATGTTTGTAACTGGAGTAGTTTGTAGTTATTTTCCTAGTACCAAAATTAACTATAAACTTACATTTTAACTTGTATGGTTTTGTAGTACCCATGTGTTTTTGTCATGTTGAATAAAGATTCAGAAATATTTCATTGAGACAAGTTACATACGTTTCTTTTTCAACTCTGAAATTAACTATAAACCTTTTGCGTTGTTAATTATTTCTCTTGAAATGTGACTAAGAACTATTTTAAATTGCACTGCATTCTTGCTTGGCTGAATCACGAAAACCAACCCAGATAGGTTCATGTCCAACAGTCCTAACCAAGTGGTCTGCTGTTTTTTCGTTATTTACGCGCCTGTTATCTCAACTTTTGCTGGTTGAAATGAAATGGAGGGCAGCCGATTCAAAGGGTTTCTAAACCCAAGATGGAAAATCAGTTCATGTTACATAATGAAGATATACAGAACAATGGGTTCATAAAATAGGATTCAAGAGAGAATCTTCCTACTAGCATTGGCGATATGGCTGAAAGAGCTTACACCTCCCTCCATGGCTCGCCTTCTTGCCTCCTCTTCAGCTTTAATCCAAGCCGCCTGAATTAAGGAAGAACAACATGAAAAATTACAGCAAGACTGCGGAAAGCAAATTCCCAGAAATGGTAAAAGCTAAAAAAAATGTGACAACTTGCCTTGTCCCTTTCAAGTCTGGAGAGATGTGGGCGGATGGAGTTTCCTAAACTCAACCCTCCCCATGCTTCTTGCAACTCTCTCTCCCTTGCTTCTCTACGAGATACGGAGGAGAGCCTAGCAGGCACTTCTTCTCCGGATTGCTGAGCAGAAGCCATCTTCTCTCTCTCGAGCTTTGATTTATGTTTAACCAAAATTTGGTCCAGACCACCTTCATTCGTCTGCATATGAGCTTTTCTGCCACTTCTTTCCACATGCATCTCTTCTTGGTTTAGACTCAATGCCATTTTCTCTTTCTCTAGTCTAGAGCTATGCTTGACCAGAACTCTGTCCAAGCCCTCACAATCTGCAGTACCATTTCCTCCGAATTTGTTTTGGTGCCTGTAATTTCCACAGCTGCTTCCCAATGACGATGCTTGCGTTTTCTCCGTTTCCAGTCCATTCTCTTCTTTATTCAAGTTCACATTTTCTTTCTCTAATCTTCTTTCTTCAACGGATTCATTTTTCTTTCTGTTTTTTGCTTCTTGAACCTCTTTTTCTAGTCTTGACACATGTTTAACCAGAATTTTATCCAGGCTTGGTACTTCTGGAACATATTTTCTTGGAGAGTTTGGTGCTCGTCCAAGTTCCTTGTCATCGATGTCAAACGTTTTTCCTGAGTTTTTTCTCATCTCCTGAACTTCCTTTTCAAGCTTCGATGGATGCTTAATCAACATACTTCCCAGGTCAGAAATGCCCTCGGATATGGTTAAGTCACTTGCCACTTTCTTTGAAATAATTTTGAAACTTTTCCTCGTATTTTTCTTTGCCTCTTCAATCTCTTTCTCAAACTTTGAGGAATGCTTCACAAGAATAGTTCCCAGATCAGAAATACTCTCGGATGAAGTCTTTTTACCATCTAAATTGACCTTTCCATCACCAGCTGTATCTGTATTCCCTTGATTCCCTTCCTTGAGTTCGTTCTTCCTCCTATCCTTAGCTTCTTGCACTTCTCTTTCAAGTTTTGACACGTGCTTGACCAAGAACTTGTCTAGACTTGGGAGTTCCAACTGAACCTCGTTCCTTCTTATTGTTCCTGAACCAACGGAAGACATTCTTCGGTGACGGTTAACAGCTTGACTCGAGGTATAATCAGCAGCAGAGCCTGGATCATGCACCTTGCTGTTTTCCACTTCTGCTAAGGCAGCATTTAAACCACATGTAGCAACAATTGTTACCAGAGAAGAAAGCTCATCTTCATTCAAACATCTAAGCCTCTCAAACATCATATCAACAATCTTGGTCATATTCAACGTGTCCAAAGACCGTCTCCTCTTATATTTCTTGAGTCTTGTCCCAGGAATCGGCAACGTAAAATCCATGTCTTGAGTTATTGGTTCAAATTCTGACCCAGACTCTAATTCATATTCTGAAAATTCAGAATTACTATCAAGCAGATCTTTAAATTCTTCACTGTCAAAAGCAGGACAGTTTGCAAGCCTGGTAAATGCAGTTTTGACTGCTGCAGCTACTTGTTTATCTACCTCAAATACACTTGCAAAAGATGTTGTGGCCGTATAAGGAGGAGATCCCCCTCCACTAACAGTAGATGTTTGAACTTGACTGGACACTTGAGGGCTATTTGGTATATCGAACATGATTACTTCCATAGCTTTTGCAACTTCGAAAGCTTCGGCTGCAGTTTTCTCTGCCTTAAGCAGCAGCTCTTCTGCTTCCTTGCTTTGGATCCTACAAATTCAATACGAATATACTAAGCGAAAGAATGGAGAATGTTAAGATATTTCATATCCTCCATGCATCAAGAAAGTTTACCTGGCTGCTTTTAGTATCCGACACCAAGATGCTTCCACCAGTGCAGCTTTTCGAGCCTCCACCGCTTTGTTTGCGGCCTCTCTTGCTGCAATTTTCTCTCTCAGTACTCTTGAATAACGTGGATTTGAATCACCAAGCGCCTCATCAAGAGTCATACTCATTCCATCTAATTCCTGATCCAAATATAAAATCAGACAAAAATGATGCGTGTTTTAACTTCTTTTACATAGTAGAATATAATACACAACCAACCTGCAGCATTTTGATTTTCCTCTGCAAGTAGGATTCCCCCTTTTTGCGTGGGAACCAGTTGATGGGAGAATTCTTACGGTGAGAAGGCTTCTTAATTTGGGATGTAAATTTGTTTAGAGCATTCAATGCTGACTGGCCAGTCCATTTTGGTGATTTATTCTGCAATATTCATGAGCAGGAAATGAAAACATCACAATTAACCTCCACAAATTTCAAATATCAGGCTAGTAAAACCTAACAAAAATGATACTGGCCTAAATGACAACAAATGTATTGATGAAAAGGTGAACCATTTGAACTTAAGACTTAATCACCAGGTACTTAATATTAGGATTTCTAGAATTCTAATGAATTTCAACAATAATATTTGTTTCAAACATCAAGAAAAGTAAATCGAAACGACAACAAAAGAAACCAAATTCTTTTGTTAGGAGATTTTAAGGTTTTGATTCCAGTTAAATCAAAACAAAACCCTAAAGTAAACACTCGTAAGAAATAACCTTAATCACCTAGTAACTCTGAAGTTCAATAAAATGAGGCAAAATTTAATGATACAAATTAACAAGAAACCAAAGAACCCTAATCGTTGAAAAATCAACAAAACGAAAAAGGATTTACCTTTCCGGGCTTAGAATCCGAAGAAACCTTCTCACTCGAATCACATTCTTTGTCAACAGAGTTAAGAACAGTGTGGCCGCTGTTCTTGTCTAACACAGATATGCATCCCAAGTCCAAGCACCCGCCATCCATTGATTGCCAAATCATACAATTAAATCCCTAGAAAATTGCAAACTCGATGGTTTTAAAAAGAATTCAGTGGATTCAGTAAGGAGATATTTGGGGACTTGGAGGGAGAGAGAGAAGTGAACGAAGAAAATTGTATGCTTTTTAGGGGATCTGATTTATGAAGAGAAAATAACGACGATGTAACGGTTTGTTTGTTTTTTTTTAAAAAAATGAACATAGCCGTTGCGGCTAGAGGGTTGTTGGTCTCTAACGGCTAGTTTTTGCTAAATCCGGTATTGAGTTGTTATCCGGTGTATTTGGAGTATGGTGGCGCTAGTAGTGGGCTAGCAAGACACGTGGGTCCTAGCCTAGTATTATCTCGCGTACTTATCCTTGCTCAGAGATTTTCCCAATTAATGCTAGTTTTGCCCCCTTTTTTTTTCCAGTGTTACTTTTTGAAACATCATAATTATTGGATATGTGAAGCCCACTTGTTAGATTTCCCAGAAAGTTATTTGTAGAAAAACCTTTGAATGAAGTTAGCATCGTTCTATATTTTAGTGCTTAGGAATTAGATACGGGCTCTATCAATTACAGCATGTAAAATAGCAAAATATGCCTATTCTGCGTGTAGCATTTTTTTATTTTTCTTTTTCTTTTTTTTGACATGATAAGCAGAGAGATACAGAAGTATTCCAAAGGTTGTAGGAAGAATGCACTGATCAAATCAAATCCTCTGCACGTTTCACTTATAAACTATACATCAGCGAGCCAAAGTTAAAATGCTTTTACATGAAAAAGTTCGCATTGAGTGATGAAATTTATTGTGAGTTCCGACAAAGATGATGAGCGAATCGCAGAATATTATCTACTTATGCCTAGTCCAGTTCTATTTGATCTCTAATCCACTTCGTTGCCACCCATTTCTCCCCTTCGATAACCGGACAGCTTCCGTGGAGAGATGTCTGCAAAAGTGTGTGACGCATAAGGGTCAGAAAACACATGCATAAACTAGAGCAACGACAGCTAAAACAGTATTATACATGAAGAATAGGAATGTCAAAGACCGATGGCTAACAATACGGCCTCCATCCGTTCCCTCCCCCCACATACTAACTCCTTCGCAGTCAAATGAACTACAGAGGAGAAAAACACGAGGTGCAAATTATCCAGCAAAGGCGGCAAAGAAAGTATGTTGGCTCTACACTGTACACCCAATCCAGACACCTTACTGCAAGCTACGAAACAACTTTCAATGAACTGAAGGATGAAAAGCAGTTCAACTGAGGAGGTCTTCTGCTATATGCTCTATCCTAAGGGAAAGGACGGCTTGAAAATTGGTTTGGGTTTTGATGCCACGCTCATCATTACCATTTAATTAACTGTCACAGGATCAATTTATTGGAAAGCTCTTAACTTGGGTATTAAAACAAGAAAATACATGTACAGTTATATAAACATGATCATGGGGTGATTATGATCTGGAAAAAAGGGAACAATTACCCGATCAATGGTTCCATTTGGAAACAACGAGTAAAATAGAAGTCCATCACCTTGCCGAGGCTTTACTTTCAAACCAACACATTGCTTGTACTCAAAGCCAGAACTTACTGCAGAGCCATTCTATAGATCAAACCAATAGGATTATTATCAGTTCGCAAGATGATTCAAATCATAAAGCAACAAAAAGATACAGTATTTGGGTAAATACCTCAAAGGGGAACATGGTTTCTCCACCTTCTTCCACATTAGACAGATACAACAAGAAAGAAGCAACCTGCACGATGGTGAATCAATCACCATTATAATTTTGGAAAATACAACTTTCACAAGGTACAGAAAGATCTTTTGTTTTTTCAATGAAAAAAAATAAAACAATCTTTGAGAATCCCACAACTACTTCAATTGATTCATGGATTTTCATCGGGAGCATTTAAAACAATGCTATAAAAGGTCAAAGAAGTAACATGCTGCAATAAAATCCTTGTAAATAATCGACAACAAGACAAAAGAGCTTTAAATATGATTTTTGGGTATGATACCATGCTAGAACAGAAGGCAAGGAAAAAAACAATGGCATGCAAGGGAGCAATCTAATTTACTGAACTTCCATTTGGCACAGCATTCTACATTTAGTAAGTAGCAGGGAGTGGTAAAACTAAGCATTCAAGATGTGATAAAGGTGTTTGTTATGTACCCTTTGGCTTGGCTGTGGACCATATTCATCTGGGTTAAATGCATCATAATGTGAATCATACTTCTGCCCGATTTCATAACGCAAGATATTGAATGCCTGCAACATGGTGATATCCACTCAGACTAACATAGAAATGAACCTGTAAAGAAAGGTTAATTATTTTTAAATTTTAAATGCAAGGGGACAGAATATCAAATATTTGATTAGCTAAGAATCATTAACTGCAAAGGTCAAATCATGCTTGTAAGAAAATGTGTGATATTTTCTACCATCATACATCCCAAAGATCAGAGATGCCAGACAGCACTCCGAGTAGCTCATACAGGAGGGAAAAAAGTGACAGTAGCAGTATCAGATTTTACATGCATTTGGTAGCATTACAAAAGCATTGGACTTCCTTTTAGCCATCAAAGTAAATATTTATTGAAATATGTATCTACCAAAAATATGGCCACTCATTTTTCTCCAGTTTTCCATTTTCAATCATTTTTCTCCAGTTTTCCATTTTCAAACTAAAAAACTGTAGGGAGACTAGAATAAAAGTCTATAATAATCATGTCAAGTTGAAGGTTCTACAATCAGGGTCCATAACTTCTTTTCTGGGAAAAAAAAATTAGATGCAAACAAATTGCTTATAGCCTTATACCATTTCTGAAAATGCAATAATGAGCAGGGTGCCATGGAAAAAGGGCCTAATTGGGTTGGTCAATGAAGTATCAGAATGAAAGGTAGAAAAGAGACTAGCTAAGACAGGCAGTCTCTCAAAGGTAAAAGGCTGAATTGGTAGATGATTTTATTAAAAGCATGTCTTTTCAGTCAGTTCTTCATTTTTTACAGGTATTTTTAAATTTTAGCATTCTGAGTAAATAAGTGACCAGAAAAAAAGTCTCTCAGAGGTAAGTTGGGATGTCATTACAGGGTTCTTCTTGTAGATCTTTCAGCTTTTCTCTTAAGTATCCTTAACCTTGTTGCCAATTATTTTAACCATTAGCTGCTAGTGATCATCTAAATTGCAGCAGTTCCTTTCCTTTCTTGAACATTTACCAACATTCTTGATTTATTCGTCATTAGAACCTCACAAGCATGATTCCAAAAACTTGAGAGTGTAGCCCTTAAACCACTATAATTTACATAAAGGCCAGAGATCCATGAACAAAGCAAATATTTAGGAACTCTCTGGACAGAGGTGCTTCACTTAGTTTAACAAAAAAATACTCAAGAGTAAAAAAGCAAGTCAGAGATCCATCAGTTGTTACAGTCTGGAACCTTAGCTTATATAATGTTATAAAGCATTTGCAACTGTTAAAAGAAAGAGAAAGAAGTAAACACCCAGATACAAAAGTAGCATTACTACCTGTCACAACAGAAATTATCGCAAACCTCTGAATTCCAGTCCTGGATACAACCCATACAAAAACAAGGGACATTTTAACAGCAAGAAAATACCTCTCCATGTGATTGTGGGATCATTGTAGCCTTTGCAATTTTCCGCTCAATGAAGTCCAAGGTTCCAGTTTTATCTTCTGAACCACCAATAAATGTGCCTGAACTGTTGCCGTGAGTTTTAAAGTCAAACAGATGAGAAAAGCCCATTGATCTAAAGTGTTGTGAGAAAGGAAAAAAAAGTATATTGCACAGAGAAAAGTAATGAAAGTGAAATGGCTTGCCTTGTTCTAGTTCCTTTAGTACTCTCAGTAGTTTCTCCCTTTCGCAAAGCTAAAGTAGATGGTTTCAATTTAGATTTTGCCATTTTAATGATGCTTTCACATTGTTCAGGAGTCGCAAAGTTCGGGAAATAAAGTGCTCTTGGTTTCCAACTTAAAACCTGAAACCATACAGCATAACATGATCCACGAACCAACTCAGAATCACATAATTCAAAACCTTCCTATAATAGCACAAAATAATTGCAACCGATTAATTCCATCTGCCACAAAAATAAATAAATAAATAAAAATCGGTCTATTACAAGATCGAGGCAGCAAAAACATCGGCTTATTACAAACTTGAAACTCCGCTTCGCCTTTTGATGCATCGACTTTTGCTCTATTGCCTGCTCTCAACAACATCCACAAGGGACCAGATATCTTTCCAAGTTTCAAATTTCCCATTTTCATTTCTGTTCGCCATCATTTCACTTTATAATAATAAATTAAATTCCTTTCAAGTTTCTCAAGCAAACAATTTCGAAATAGAATAAACAAACTACGATCCAATCAATATTAAAGCAAATCTTTCTCGCATCAAATTATATTAACCTAGCTTAATTTTAAAGCAGCTCCCCAGTAAATCTCCAATCTATCACTAACCCAGAACATTTTTTCTACAACCTCAAATTATCAGACCTTGATTACCTGAAAAGGGATGGATTCAATAAAAGCTTCGCCAGTATCCCCATGCGGCATCGCGTCACGATCCACTTCCGCTACTTCAAGCATTCTTAACCTTGGTTTAATGACCGGGACATCCTGCAAGACCATAATTAAACACGCAATCACCGTCTAATCAGAGTAATTGGTTAAAACACACGACCAATGCATGCATAGAGAGAGAGAGATACAAACGTTGGAGATAAAAGTGGAGCTGTATAGACCCGCAAGAAAGAACAAAGAGCAAAGAAGTATTGCAGCTGGCAACCCTAGCTTTCTTTTTGATCTTTTCGTTTTGATTTTCATTTATGATTCTTTTTTATTTTTGGGTGTGGATCGTGGATCTTGAAAAGCAGAACTGAGAGTTTCGGGTTGAATGTGTGTGTGTTTTTCCTTCCGTTGATCTGAAGAGCAAAGCGCGTTAATGGCGGGAGAGGAGAGGAGGGTTTTTTATTCTTCGCTGTGACATCACGGGGGCATCCATGTGTGTGCTTACTGGAGAACATAAAAAATTAATTAACATAATGGGGCAACTCTAACGTTTTCGGGGGGGAAAATAGTACAGTTAAAGTTCCATGAATTTGATTTGCGGATTAATAATCCAACTTGTGGAGTTATGGCCCACGACCACGTTACCATAGTGGTCATGAAAGTAACTTCTTGTCTTTGAGTGTGTGTGTTTTTTTTACTTAATTTGTTTTTTTGTATAAAAATATTAAATTAATATGTTTTTATTTTTTTATATAGTTTTGATGTTCTTATTATGTTAAAGCTTAAAAAAAATATTGATATATTTTCAATTTAAAAATATTTTTATAAAAGCACTCATACTTTTTTTTAAAAAAAAAGTGATTTTTTCTCATCTTTTCTTCTCTTCATAATTTTATTGTCATGTTATAAAGTTATTCTCTCCTATCACTTTTTTATATTGTCTATGGATCTATAACCTATATTTAAGTTTGCGTGGTCACGTGTTAGCTACTTATTGTTCTCGTTCATTTTTATTTTTATTTTCTAGATAATAATTTGAAGGATGTTTATATCTATGTAAAAAGACATGTCAATGGGAAACTCTTGATCATCAATTGATAGAACTAATTATTTCAATAATGTCAAATATTTTTTAGAAAAAATTATATATACATGTTTCTTGTAGTTAAAAAAATTTAAAGTGAAAATAAAAACATTTATGCATATATATAATCATATAAATCAAGAACTATGTGTTAATAGATGAAAAAAAATTATAAATAATAACAAAAAATAAAACTACAAAAATAAAAAGGCAAACACAAAATAAAATATTTCATATCGTAAGACAAGATATTTATTTTGTTGGGTTTATTAAATTTATTTATTAAAATAATTTTTTTATTCAATCAAATAATAATAGAAATAGAAAGACATTAAAATGATTGAGTAAAATAAAAGAGAAATAGATATTATACAAGTATGCACATATTAAAAATATTATATAAAAAATAAATTTCATCTATATAAAAAATAAAAAAAATATAGATGAATAAGAAAAATCTCTTCAATTGTAAATACATACAAAATAACTAAAATCATAATTTTTATTTAAAAGAAAATATATAAACAAGATAAATGAGAGAAAACATATTGATTTAAATATAGATAAAAAAATAATTTTGAAAAAAGAATACATGAAGAAGAAAAAAAACAGTTCATGCATTGTTGAGCCTGGAAGCCAGGCTAACCTGCCTGATCCATTTTATTAGGGTTCGCATACTTGTGCTTTTATTTTTTTGTTACAATAGGAGTGAATGACATAATTTTAAAAATAAAAAATAAACCAAATGACATGTCATTTAATTTTGTAAAGATTTAGTGGCCAAAATATCAGAGCTGGAGATTTTTATCCAAAAACTCATTTGTGACCCAAATCATTTATAAACACCCTATAAATCTTGATAAATTTATATATGACCTCATAATTCCCAAAAAGACATCTCAGAACTCGAAATCAACTTGAAACCAAATATTTTCCATAGTTTAAATTTGAGTTTTTTTAGTCACTTTCAATGTAAAAAAAGCATCCTATGAACCTCCCTCAACAAATAAAATCATTTGACACAAAAATCAATCGTTTTATTGGTTAAAATTTTTAATTTTCTATGTTCATCTTTGTAAGGTGGATTTTTGTTGAAAGGTCATATGGTTTTTTTCATGTTCAATTCTTATTAAATAAATTATACTGGTAATAGAAAAAAAATATTGTGATTACATTATGCAGTATTAAAAAATATGGAATTTTTTATTTATTTATTCAGGGTAGAATATTATTTTTATTTTCTTTTCAATTTAGCGTATATATAATATATCTGCATTTAGTTTAAAGCTATTCATTTAAATTATTGTGATTGCATTATGCAGTATTAATAAAACTCTAACCTCCTTCTCTTTTATTTTTGTATTTCACTTTGTTTTCTTAGAATATTTAATATGGTATTGAAGCCAGATTTCATGAAATGAGGATTAATCTCAAACACAACTTTCACGGATCTAGTTTCAAGAAGATATTTGTTCAATTTCTGTAATCTAGTATTTTGTTTTCCTTTCTTTTACATTTTTTTTTTCTCTACTTATTGATTATGGCTACTAAAAAAGATAATTTGGTTTAGTCTATGAGTTTGAAGTTGGATAGAAAGAATTATTTGTATTGGATTTATACGAAGAGGAATTCTATTAAGGGTTAAAAGATGTGAAAATATATTAATGGAACTCTTGTGAAACCTAGGAATATTGAAGAGAGGTATGCTGCTTTGATAGATGTTTGAGAAGCAACAATGCAAAGATTATTACTTGAATTAATAATTTTATCGAGCATTCCATGGATATACAGTTAACGAAATATGAGACAATTAAGAAGGTTTGAGATCATCTACAAAGATTATTTATGCAATCAAATTTTACAAAACAATATTAATTAGAGAATGACATATGAGCTCTTTACTATATTAAAAAAAAATGAGCATTCAGGAGTTGTATTCTACCATAACAAATCTTTAGGATTAATTGACTATGACAAAATCAGTAGAATTAAAGGCATGTGGTGTCTAATTTGCTATTAAAGAGCAGCAATGATTGATACAATTTTTAATGACACTTCATAATGATTTTGAAGGACTTAGAGATTTAATTTTGCATCGTTTTTCACTGTTTTATGTTGACTCAATTGTCAATGAGTTTATTGGCTAAAAAAATACATCTTTAGTTTTATTTTAAAATGAGAGTTCTTTCTACTTCTAATCATCATGTGCTAACAATACATTCTAATTCATTCTTTAATAATCATAATAAGTCTTACGCAAGAGTTGCCTTTAACAAATATAGTTTTTGTAAGCAAAAAGGTCAATGAAAGGCTCAGTGTCCCATATTAAAACAACAAAACCAAGCTTAGAAACATGAAAACAAGTTGCAATTTAATACTCACGAACCACCTTAAGGCTACAAACCACCACACAAAAATACTGCAGTAATAGTTTCATCAAGTCTTATCACCGATTTCAGAACTTTAGCTGAGCAATTTCAAAAGTTTCTCTCTTTATAGCCACAAGTTATGCTCGTTTATTCTTTCATAGGTTAGTTGTCTCATAGTTCTTCAAGTATGTCACATTCTAAATGTATCTTAGATTCTGATGCTTTATATCATATGTTTCTAGATTTTTTATCTTTTGTTTATGTATCCCCTTCGCCTTTTATTCCTATCATGACTGCTAATGTCACTCTTATACCTCAACAGGTGTTGGTTATGTTGTAACACCTCATTTGTTTTTCTCTAATATTTATTTTATTCTGAAACTCATATTGAAATTTATTTATGTTGGTCAGTTATGTGATTGTAATGATTATTTAGTCATCGTTTCATCTTCTTTTTTTTTGTACAGGATCTGGAATCTCAAAAGTTGATTGGGATAGGGCGTAAAAAGAAAGGATTATATATTTTGGATGAGTTAAAAATGTAAGTTATTGTTGCAGCTGCTACTAGTGTTGATTTGTCTTCTTTTCATTTGAGTCCTTTTCTTCTAGTTTTAATTTATGACATTCTCATCTAGATCATGTTTCTTCTTCTCGTTTGAGATTTTTGGCATTCACAATAGCTTTAGAAAATTTACAAACTTGTGATATTTTTTTAATTATAATGGATGTAAACTGATAAGATTTTCCGCTTTATCTTTTAATCAAAGTATTCTTCTTTCTTCCTTTTCATTTAACTTGATTCATTTTGATGTATGGAGACTTTCTCTTATTTCTATAAAAGAAAGGTCTAAATATTATAGTTCTTTTATTGAAAATCATGCTCATTATTTTTAGGTTTATTTAATAAAATGTCATTATGAATTCTTTGAGATATATACAGCATTTTGAACTCTTGTCAAAACTCAATTCTATTATTATCAAATGTTTTAGGTGTGATTTGGGTGTGAGATACACATCTATTATTATCAAATACTGAAATCCTTCATTTTATTTTTATTACTGGTAATGATATTGATGATATTTTAGTTTTGAAGACAGAATTAGCTAGATAGTTTAAAATGAAGGATTTCAGTTCTCTACGATATTTTTTGGGTATTGAGGTAGCTTATTCACTTAGAGGTTATTTTCTTTCTCAATCGAAATATGTTGTAAATATCTTTGAGCGAGCTAGACTTACGAATAGTAAAACTATAGATACTTTTATTAAAGTTAACACAAAGTATTTTTCTTTTGATAGTTTATCTTTGTCAGGTTCTATTTTATATCATATTATTGTTGGTAGCTTGATATATTTCACTACTACTCGTTAATATATTGTATATATTGTTCATGTTGTTAATAAGTTTGTATTTTTAAATGGTTTAAATATATTAATATTAAAAATCAATTATTTTTTTTTAATATATAAAAAATAATATTTTAAAAACAATTATTATCACAAAATAATCACTACCTTACAATCATTTCCTGATTTATTCGACAGCTCTTTGATGCATTCTATTTCTGGCCCAAGAATATATGCCATTTATACTTCAAATTATAAAATCCGGAACAAACCACAACTCACTAATCACCACTCTTCACAAAAATCCATATATTCGAAGTTGCTAAAATAAGATTTTGAAATTATTCAATTATATCGCAATCCCACCCACCCACCCACCCACTCGACACCCGTTTCTTTAAGGAATTCATTAACGACGGTGATTTTAGGACCACAGATTTGTATGATGCACCCATATCGTTGTTCTCAAATGGAAAAATAAGTTTCTTGTTACCGTGCACCATTGCTTTCTGAATGTTGTGTTTTTATCTGCGACTCTTCACCACCTGATGTACAAAAGAACTTATTCCTTCATGGATATTGACAGGACACCTCTTAGACTATAGGTACTTGTGTTTCCATGCCTGTATTCCGTCGTTTTCGATTTTTCATATCATTACTTTTATATAAAGGACCTTAGACCTGCAAAGCTTTAATTTGCCCTAGCAGCTCTACGTGCATCCAGCTGGTTATAATAAGCTCTTGTACTTGTGTCATCAGTCACATGGCTAGAGCTGTGCTTTCAAATGCAAAGATGCTAGTGCTTAGGTGATGCTATTGACTTATTAATTACTTTTGACAGAATATTGGAGACCTGGAGTTATCTGGATTTTCGCTGAATGCATGATCATCAGTACTGTTGTGCTAACGAGCATTAACCCTCTTACACTTCAAGTGAATTGCATTTAATTTCATTTGTTTCGGCATCTACTTACGTTCGTGGGTGCACTTGTTTTGTGTTTCCTTCTTCTTCCCTGATATTGACTTTGAGGTATATATGACAGCTCGTGCAGGGAAACGTCTAGGCCACTCCAGTGCCATTTTAGCAGTCCTCCAGCAGTACAACAGCCAGAAAAGTCAGGGAACTCAGTCAAATGTAGCAAGATGGGGGATTGGGTACCTCATCCTCGCACAGGAATTTATTTTCCAAAAGGCCATGAGTGGGTGATGGATGATGTACCAGAGAATGCAGCTTCATTCAGTCAGACTTATTGGCTGAGGAATGTTGATGGTGTTGAGAAACCAGGCCCTGATACACCCCATGACCATTACTTGGCCACCAATCTGTATCCAGTTTAGTCAAGAAGATATAACGAGTGCCGCTGTGGCCCTGAAAGTTATACAACAAGATGTATCCTCCTAGTGTTGAACGCTGTGAATGGAATAACACAAATCCAAGAAATTACGCAGCCCTTTTCTTTTTCCCGAATGGCTTCTTTGCTGTTACAGCTCTGCAATATTCATATTAATTAAGAGATATATACATGCAGCTTACTTCATGATTACTCCCGAGGCTATAACTGATCACAAGGAAAAGAAATCCTTGATTAATAACATCGATCATGCTAAATGAATTAGAATTTGTTATGTTTAACTTAAGGAAGTGAAGTCTGCTGTCTTACAAATGAGGTAACCTACCAGTATAGACTTGTTGGTTGGTGTGCGAATACGAATTAATATAGCGGGCATCAACTGCCTATGAAAGTGAAGGAGGATAGTTATGGGTTATGGCAGAGCCTAGCAAGGAACTTGTTCTTCGATCGAGGCAAGGCCGCCCGGTCTCAAATTCCTCGTTTCCGCACCCCATACCGTACGTGTCTCAAATGAAGTTAAGAGTGTAAGATAATAGCTGATAGGTAAATGTTAAGATTTTCTTAGTTGGCAAAAATATCTCTCTTGTAGCTTTTAAAGTATATTTTATTTAAAAATATATTAAAATATTTTTTATTTTTTAAAAGCATCTTAGCCTTGCTGTATCTCGTAACTTTGCCTAGTTTATCAATCACCCTCTATGTTTCCACTATACACCAATCGTCGTCAAAAACGGTTTTCACACGTCTTCGCAGGGGACTGTCGGTAACAATTCAAGGCCTTCGGTTTGGGATTTCAAATGAGAGCTGAAACATAAGAGGGTGGTTGATTGAAAAAACAAATTAGTTTGAGGGGTTAAAAGATAAACCTGGTACAATCATGGGGGGTGGGGGCAAATTAAGGCTTCCCAGTTTTCCACGAAGAACCACAATAGTCAGAGTCAAAAGTTTGACTCACCGTTCATCACGGGAAAATTTCTTGACGGGCATTTTCCTTTCCATCTTTATCACTGCATTTTCTTTTCATTTTCCGTTTTTGTTCTGTCATAAATCAAGCACTAACTACGAATCTGACCCCACACTATGATGCATACTTTTATCCAGTCCTTAAACTTTGTAATATTTGGATTTTTACACCCAACAACACTATATAATTACGCTGATATGTGAATGCCAGGCACGTGATGTGCTTTCACAGCTGATTTTGTTTTTAGGAATAGAGATCTAAATTCACTCCACGTAAACAAATTACTTGAGTGAAGTATAGAACAAATGCGATTGTTTTATTTGTTGACATGGATTTATTGTTCCCATCTATACCAATATCAAACCATCTTAAGAAATACAATTACATGTAATTTTACTGAAACAATTATTTATTGTGTTTTTAATGACAAAAAACAAGAAAAAAAAATTATCTGATAATAAATTACAAGAATCAAGTAATCATTCTAATCCTCGAGAAGCAAGAAAAAGTTTTTTTTTTTAATCAGAAGTCTGTAATTGTTAAGAGAATGTTTTGTATTGAGATGTGATATTGTTTTAAACAATATGATATTTTTTGTTTTAAATTATTTTTTATATGTTTTTAAATTGTTTTGAAGTACTAAATCAGATATTTTTTGTTTTAAATTATTTTTTATGTGTTTTTAAATTGTTTTGAAGTACTAAATTAATTAAAAAATATATATTATTTTAATATATTTTTAAATAAAAAATACTTTATAAAACAATGATTGACATAATGACAAACAAGTAAGTTCTTTTGTGCTAGTAGTATCCTATGTGCTTGAATTATTATTACTTTAAAATTTTGTTTGTTTTTATATTTTAAAAATATTTTTTTATTAATTTTTTTATATTTTTAAATTATTTTATTATACTAATATTGAAAATAAAATCTAAAAGAAATACTATTTTAATATATTTCAAAAAGTAAGAAAAAAAATAATAACACCGGCTCTAGAAATTAGAATCGTATGAAACCAAACACTAGGACAAATTGGCACTTGTGAAGCCTACATGGCTCGATGCTAAATTGCAAAACAATTACAGTTTGGGTCTGAATTGAGATCTCTGCCATACTCAAGGGATTGTTTATAATCCAGTCCCAAAATTCTACTACCAAAACATTTCTTAATTTTTTTGTGATAAAACTCCATCGTCGGTTTATCTCCTGCTCAGCACCACGCAACGGTCCCTTCTTCCACCCCTTTCACTCACTACCAAATATTAATTCTGCATTTCTACGAACCCTTCCTATCTCTTCAGAATCCCTCTCCTATTTTGAACTCCCGTTTCTTCTTTGAAACCTCACTGACACTTCACCTTAATTTTTATCTCCGATTTTTCTTTTTGTTTTTTATGCTGCCGTTTTAGTGGCAAAAATAAATAAAGAAACCGGATCGTGAGCTTCGTGGTGCATGACGAGCGCTTCGGAGTTATTTTATCAAAGAAGGTCCCGTGTGAGCCGAGCCAATTCCGATCTAGGGCTCGAGCCTTCTCTCTCTGACCGTAGTTTTTACCAAAATTACAATCGCCGCCATCACCATAATCATAACCATAACCATCGTCATGATTTGAACGGCTGTGATCCTCTCCGCAGACCCCCCCACGTGCGGACCCTCTGCCACCGGCTGTCATCCCCATCTGTAAGCAACTGGATATATTTCGGAGTTTTAGAGTTCAAGAAACGGGAGCTTAAATTATTTGATTGCTTGACTGGGAACTTATAATTCTAATATTTCTCAAGCACTAGTAAATACACCAACATAAAAAGCTGCAAAATTTGTTAAATTTGGAATGTGATTTAAGTGGGTATTTAAGGTGATGTTTCTTTTATTTGTAGTTTCTGAAGTCTAAAATCTGTAAATCACTGTAACTTTAAGTGCGTGGTCTGGTGGTTAAGTAGTTATGTTCGTAGGACATTTTCATTGCTGTAATCAGTGTGGGCAATGCCAGGATACATTCTCTTTAGCTTATTGTTGTATTGTGTCTGGCTTGCATAGGAAAGTGCCTCAGCTCGACTGGATCAAGGTACCGACCAGTTTGTACCAAGCAACAATCTCACCGCTGAAACTTTAAGCCGGCCAAGAGTGACTGGAAATGGTAGGCTTCCTGGAGCTGTGCTACTAGCAAGGGCAAGGCTTCTTGAAAGGTTAAGAGGAGTGTCACTTTCTGCAAACAGGTGATCCAATTTACCTGTTGCATTCACTGTATAATGCACAGAGCATTGCATACGTAGTGGTATTTGAACCCACCACAAATTAGCGGCCATCGATGCTAATGATGGTAACCACTGGCATTTGTTACACGTAGATGCCATCCCATCATGTATGTGCTGTTGCCACTACGATTACTGTGGCTGCTGCTTTTGGTCCCGTTTCTTATGCCACCCACTATTACCACTACTTGATGTCTTGCCGTAACTCGGAGACACCTGTCTAATTATGTCACCCGACACATACAACGTGGACCTGGGTCATAGCTGGGAGAAATTATATAAACAAATGGTTTTTTATATTTTACGATTAATCATGAGTTTGAATTTTTTTAATTTTTATTTTATTTAATAAAAATCAAGTATAAAATAATATTTGTTAGATGATTTTCTTTGCTAATGCAAGCGTGTTAGATCATGGATTTAACTTTAGGAACTGACCTGTTTGTTTTGGTTTCTGATCTGTTTATTTTGGTTTCATCCAGGCGAAGTGGCCCAGCTTCCTTTGGCATCTATAACAGGGAGTATACGCTTGGTGACGAATTGAGGGTTGTTGATGCAGGAGCCTGGGGAACTGACATTTCTACAGGGTTGTTTGCTGGAGTTTCTCCTTTCAATGACTCAACCTTTCAAACCGAAAGACCTCACACCGTGCAGGAATCATGCAAGAAGAAACCGCCTGGTCTGACGCAAGATGCCCTTCAGTGTTTGCAATCAGAGGTATTTAGCTGTTTAGGGAAGGGTATTGAAGGGGGTTCATCTCAGGTGTCGCCGGATTGTAGTATATGTCTCGAGAGTTTCAGTGAAGGAGACGAGCTTATTCGTTTGCCCTGTGACCATAGATTCCACTCTGCTTGCCTGGATCCTTGGGTCCGGACTTGTGGGGACTGCCCATATTGTAGAAGAGATATAGTTTTAAGTAATGATTGACAAAAAAGAAAGAACATGAAGTCATTTGGAAGCAGTCTATTTCATTGTCGTGAATTCGAATTCAACTGCATTAGTTTTGTGAAGTGATCTGAATAATTCCTGGTTAATAGAATGCATCGGAGTTGAATGGAAAAGAATTAAACATAATTGATGTTTTGGCATAACGTATTATAGTCTGAACGATAAAGACGTTCGCTTCTTTCAACTTTCTGGCATCCTACCATGGAAGCTTATAATGCCGATGAATTTAATTGACCAAGATTTTACTAGCAACCCCTGCATTTTTTATTCTGCAGTTGCAATTTCTCGCAAGTGATATAGCTCCGCATGTTTTTTATTATTTTTTACTTTATTTCTAAAAAGATAATTACCTACTTATGGAGAGCTTATGAAGGTTCAAATTGTTTTTGGACTTCAAAACCACTAATAGTTCTGTGTGGTACCCTCAAATTGGCATCCCCTCCCTAACCCCTGGCCAATACATCTTCAAAATCACCCCCAAAACAACCCCTGAAAAATTAACTATCTGGTTAGAACGTGCCTGGAATGACGATCCAAGTACCACTCTCAAGCTCATTTGCCATCTTGGGTTAGCCTTCATCAATGGCAAACCTAATAGCGATGCATTCCTTGCGTCAGTTCTTTGGCTTCATGAGAAAGATTTTTACTTTCTTGAGTCACGTATTCTCGCAGCCCTTGCACAACATGGGTACCTGAAAGATCTTCCTGAGATCTTGTGTCGAATCTTGAAGTTAGAGATGGAACGTAAATCTTACAGCAGAGAAGGCCCTTTGTTTCAAGAATCGAGTGTGAAAAATGAGAACCGGGGCGGTGAAACTGAGATGGATAAGGAGAAGAGGGGGGTTTTGAGGAAGGGGAAAGATATGTCTTGGGCTAGAATTGCAGTTATTTTTCACCTCGAAGTTGAAAGATATCAGTATTTGCACATCAGCATTGCAGATACTGATATCTGAGAGGTGATTT